CTCTTTCTAGTTCCACTATCTGCAGTCACAGAGATTTCTCACTCTGGCAGTGAACCCACAGTTGCTTTTCCTTGGGAGCCCCAGCAGCCAGTGGGGTTTTGGGCACACCTGGTGCCCATTTGGTATTTGTGTTCCTCTCAACATCACTGCAGTTTGCTTAGTGGAATCACTGAAAAGATGTGTGAATCACTCACCCAGAAGTCTTTGCTTTTCACTGGTGGAATACACAGGCACAATATTTTGGAAGATCACTTCTAAAATTTCTAGTGACTAAATGACCTGGAGGAGATGGATTTGCTAGTTTAGGATTCAGATCTTGCTGCTGTTGTTTAACCTTTGTGGAATATAACTGCACTGGAGCCTGAAGTCACCAGCTATAGCAGATATTTTAAGTTACTGAAAAGAACTATTCAAGTAATTTTGTTAAATCTCTGAATATTTATGAAGTGTCCTGGTGGGTTTGGCAATTGTCTCATAATCATTTGGTGCTGCAGCTTATGCTGTTGATGTTTGAGCTACTTCATTTAAGTCATAAATCACACCTGGGAAATAATCACCAAAATTATTTCTGACTTGCATGTTCACCCATCAGAGCCTAATCTCAGTTCCTTCTGTTCTTCAGCATATCTCCTCTTCCTTAAATTCTGGTCTAATGTTGACCTCTTTGCCTTTATTAGTTCTTTTTGCATTCACCCCCGATTTCTGGAAGACTTTCTTACTCATAACTGATGTTTGAAATTTGAGAATCTGTCCTGCAGGGAGTGTTGAATAAAGCAATCTATGAATTTCTGATGCAAATTTTCCTCAAAACTTTGTTCTGATTGTTTGAGCCTAATTGTTATATTAAACATAATTTCTAAGTGTGGTGGCTAAAGAGCTAAAAACATTTTTTGTTTCTTCTATTAAGAGATTGCCACTATCCTTTGTTTTGAAAGAAACTTTTGATTTATTCAAAAGTATTTCATCGATTAATGTGAAGACAAAGAAAATTAAAGAAGTTCTTGTGTACTGGGTACATGTGTCTTAGCTGTGCCTCAATGGTCGTGGAAATGATTATTGTAATATCTGAGGCAATTGCTTTGTATTATTGCAGTAGTAACTTGCACTTCAGTCAGACAATATCTACAGATTAGTTTTTTTTTGTAATGAAATAGTTCAGTTACACAGGCTATGGATAACAGAAAAGAGGGTCACAGTCACTGCAAAGTCACTGTTTTTAGTGCTCCCCAGGGGCCATGGGAGTTCCACACAGGCTCTATCAGGACCAGCCAGTGCTCATCCCACTGCCCCCATCGCAGACATTGGGCACCTCTGGCCAATATCCTACCTAAACTATTTAACTCATATTTTGAAGCATATTACCTGCTTCTAAAAACTGCATATCCAAATGGCAGGAGCTCAGATATTATACCTCAGTCAAGTTTTCTGGGTTTGGGTTATCTGCAGTTGGTACAACTCTGGTCCTTCAACAATCATGTGTCAAGGTGTTTTGGCCAGTCTTTCCAAGGTACAAAGCTAACCACAGTGACAGTATTAGAAACTATTCATTATTAGAAACTATTCACTGGAATGAGGCTATTGAAAAATCTGTGGGGTTTTGTGTGTTTAGGAAAGAATGATAAAACATGGGACAAAATTTAACAACCATCCGTTTTGGTACAGCAGTTAAAATGACAGGAGATACCATGGATTGAAAAATCATCTAAGTGCCAAAAGCACGTACTTAAAGAAATTATAAGAATTTTCTTTTGGAATAGCTCCAGGAATCTGCTATATGTCCTTGGGGTAAGGTTTTATTATGGACAGAAACCTTTATAATGTTACAGAGGAAAATAAATGCTGTCAGCAACAACATTTTTATGCATCATTTCCAGTTCCAGAGAGACGCTGCAGAATAAACATTGCTAATAATGGTAAGGCAAGTATTTCTGTATAATGAAAAATTGATCTAGGCACCAACAGGCACCAACAAATTTGAGAGGCTTTTGGAAAAAATTTCTATCTGTGTCAAGGTGACAGTGGACTTCTACTTGGTTTTTCAGGTGTCAGGCCAGACACTCAAGCTGTTGTAGGCTGCACCCAGACCCTTCTGTTAAATGGTTGATTCCTTGTTAAATATATGAGCTGAGAGTGATGCAAAGAATCAACAGAAACCTGGACATTAGTACCATCCTGTGGGTGCAGGCAAGGAACACAAAACTCCCTTCCCTTCAGTGGGTTATGAGGATGGCTAGTTGCAGTATAATGTACAGTAGCACATCTTCCTAAAGTGATTTTTTTCTTGATAAAAATCAATTCAGAAAACTGGACACAACCTGAAAGCAAACTACAGAAGACAACACACATGTTCAAAGCCTCTGTTGTCCAAAAATTGTTTTGTTAGATTTATTTAAGATTATACTCAAATGAAAGACATAGACTGGGATGCTGTGGAATTTGACTTAAGCCCCCCAGCTACGGGATGCTGTAGCTCTCAAAACTCCAATGGACGGTCTGGAGAGCTTTTTGTTCTGTCATGTCGGGTTCTAAATTAATATTCCAGCTTTCCCATTCAGGAAAACAAACTGGTCTCCAGCAATATGTGGTTCTAATTAGGAGAAGACATAATTAATGTTTCCTAAGGGTGTCTCTCCCAAGAGCAGTGTGGCTAAATACATGTGAATACAGAGTGCAGCAGGGATTCTGAGGCTTGCAGAGCTCCAAGTGATTTAAAATATGTACTTTGATATTCAAATAGGAGTTAAGTGATTTGAAATTAGCTGTGGATATAATAAAGCTGGATCTGAAAGTGTGTAAATTTAAGGGGAAAAATAATACAAGATATTTTGCTGTTACACTGCATCTCCATTTTATTTACAGAATGAACAGAGGTAGCACAGAATTTGAAAACTATAATGAACTTCATAGTGCCATTATGCCTGGAAAGACACTGAAAATATTGAGATTTTTATCCCTCACATGTGAGCTATACAGATTATCTTTCAATTAGAGAAATATGATGTTTAATTGTTTTCATTTCTCTACATCTTCCTGATGTAGAAAAAAGCAATTTGCCTGTCATTAAGACTTTTACAATGTCAGTGCAAATGATCCATGGTTAAGGAGTGGATCAGGAATTTGTGATGAAATCCAGGAGTCTGTCCACTGAGGCTCCATCTACTCTAGCTAAAAATATACATTCTCAGAATTCTCAGAATTCACAGAATTCACAGAATGGCTGGGTTGGAAGAGACCTTCCAGATCATCGAGTCCAGCCCATGCCCCAGCACCTCAACGAGATCATGGTACTGAGTGTCATACCCAGTCTTTTTTTGAACACATCCAGGGATGGTGACTCCACCACCTCCCCGGGCAGATCATTCCAGTACTTTATCACTCTTTCTGTGAAAAACTTTTTCCTAATATCCAACCTATATTTCCCTTGGCACAGCTTGAGACTGTGTCCTCTCGTTCTGTCAGTTGCTGCCTGCAGAAATAGACCGACCCCCACCTGACCACAGCCACCTTTCAGGGAGTTGTAGAGAGTGATAAGGTCACCTCTGAGTCTCCTTTTCTCCAGGCTAAACAACCCCAACTCCCTTCATAATAGCCCAGAACTTATAGTTCAGTGGCTCTGTCACTGGCATAGTATTCTGGGGGAAGAAAAGCTTATATTAGGGTTCCCATTTTTCATTCTGCCTGTTGCAGATTTGGCCAGTTTCCTGAGCCACAATACAGTTTCCATGACTGCCCAATTTTTTTCTGGCTGTAGTTTCTCATGAGCAAAACCCAAAAGCCCATACCATACCCTGTTTGGTGCAGCTGAGTAGCTCCTGGTGAAGAGGCTTCTGAACTTATTGCATGGTGGAGCATCAGGCAAGAGGCAGTGGCTCCCCAGGGAACAAGTAGCTAGTGGGGACAATGAAGGGATTTAATGTAAAATCAAGGCAGTGAGGTGAAGAAGAAGATACTGATGAACTATTGAAGAGAAAAGCCTGGGATCCTCTAGCCTAGTCCATACCTTGTTCTGGTGGTTACACCCATAAAGGGGGCAGCATTAGCAGAGCAGGAGGATCTGGAAAGTTCTCGGTTGTGTTGTGTGGCAAGTGTGAAAAGAAGCTATAGCAGAGCATAGCTATAATATTTCTGTCAGTGCAAATGCACAAAATAAAATGCACTAATCAATTTTATTGAAAGATAAATTTACAGTGCGGAGGAAAATTGTATTTACAATGAAGTCACACTGCATTCTACCTTTTAGATCTTGGATGACAAAACTTTTTCTGATTTAATTCAGCCACACTGATTACTCATTTTTGTACCAGAATGCTGTGACCAAAATGAAAGAAGATAAGCCCATTTAATTATTCCTAGAGGTAATACTGTTTAATTTAGAAACAAAAAGTTGGATTTTAGACCTTCATTGTTTATGTCTATTTAAACGCCTCATGAGGTCATATTCTTATGGTTAGTTTTTTATCTTAAAGATGGTAAAAAAGTAACACTATCAACAGAACTAAGAAAATACATTTCTATTGAAATGTAACTCATATGACTTCATGGAGTCTTGATAGATTGTCTGTCATTAAGCTGAAATATTTCTATTACTTGTTCTTTGGGTTGGCATTAAAAAAAAGGAACCAATAACATGCTCAAATTCTTGTACCATAGCAAAGGTCAATACAAGAATTGGTCTTTCCTGGTTTCTGGTTCATGACACAATTTTTTTTTCTCTCCTCTTAAATCTAACTAAGGAAGAAAAATCCTAGAAATAATTTTGAAGTGGAATGCTGATTTTATGCAAAATCTAGTGAGGATATTTTAAAGGGAGAACCCTGTATCTGCTTTAGTTTGAAGCTGCCGTCACCATGTCTTTGCACAGAGATAGTACAGGGTATCGGTATCTGTCTCTGTCTCTCTCCCTCTTCGATGCTATATTTATAGCATCCCACTGGCCATAAAAGGTCTGGACTGAGGCTCTGACATTCCACTGACTGCAGGCATTATTTTTGTTCTGGACCTTGAAGTCCAGTCCTTACCCCTCGTCCTAACTACCTCTTTCTTTGCTGGCTTCATTGTAGCTGTATTTTTTGTGCTATTCATCCAGTTGGGAGCTCTTCCATTTACTGCCATTCATTTGGATCCTGGTAAGTGGGTTTTTAATGCCAGAAGGTTTTATGTGTTCAATTATTTTTAATCTGAATCTGTAATGCCAAGTTGATAGTAGCTCCCTTTATTCTTCTTAGCTCAGCAGTTGAGGGATTTGTGGATGTCAGTTGAAGACGTCTGAAGGCTCAGCTGTGAAATTAAAGGAAAGTAGTGCAGGGGCTCTTTTATTTTCACTCAGCTATCTTTGCATATTGTCACAGTACTCTCAAATAAAGCATGGGCTACTGAGGTACAAGAGGAGTTTGTCACGTAGTCTGTGGTCTTAGAGAATGTTTAAATAACATAAATATTTTCTTGTTGCATAGGATGTTATCTTTTCTCTGCTTACAGCAGTTATTTTTTTAAATCTATTTCACTGCTTTCATTGATTGATGGAGCAGATCTTTAAAGAATTACATAGACTGCTAAACAGCACAAGAATTTCCTTTAATATGTAGCTATGAACTGTGGACAAGTACAGAACTGTCTGTCTGCTTAGTAGTAATTTTAAATAGTCAGTTCAACAGTTGCTAAAATATAGCTCCAAAAACTGCAAATTCATCTAACTATGGCCACTAAAATTTTCAGGCCAAGCTCTGAAGTGCTAGACTGATCTTGAGAGGGAGTGTTGCCCTCACACTGAAGGGGGCTGGTTAGTGCACACAGACTAAATGGGTGCAGGTAGCATAGATAAAACTTAAGAGATGGGAGTCAGTCTGATAATCAGGCAGTGCTCCAGACAGGAGCAAAGTCCTTGGAAGTTTCTGAGTTACCTGTCATCTCCAATAGCATCACACTGCTGTATCTGATCAGACTAATGTAACTAACTTATCCTGGCCTGTGAGCAATCTGTCATGTTTCAGAGGATATATAAAACATAATAAATAAAACTCACAGTGTGTAAAAATATCTATGAAAGTTTCCTTTTATGTGCTGTGAGTCAGTGTGGGTCTTTGATTAGGACCAGAAGAGCTGACTGTCCCTGCTATCAGAGTCTTACTCCTATCACAGACTTAACTCCTGAGGACAGTGAGATACAGACCTTTCCTCTCCAGAAGAAAAATGTTTCCTTTGTACATTTGAACTTGTTCTTTTGGTCTGACAAAATGTAAATGAAATGCCTTATTTAACTTCTTAATGGGCAGCACATGCAGTGCTTCATATTTGTGGATCACCTTCCGTACTTTGAAGCCTGGAAGGCTGTGGGAATGCCTGAGCTGAATGCCTGTTAGCACTGTGGCTGTTGTATGAATGATGAAGCCAGCCAACACTTCAAGTAAAGCTGGTGAAGACAAACCATAGTACTCTGCAGAAGGAAAACAGGATGTTCTCATGTTCCTTCCCTTTCAGCATGCAAGACAATATTCTTCTGTATGCCTTAACCTTCCCAGTCAGTGATCACAATTACTTGCAAGTCCTAAACCCAGCTCTGCAGAGCTGCAAGAGGAAGGCAATGAAGAAAAATGAAGAAAAAAATCTTCTGAAACCAAGGAAATTAAGAGGAACTGCATACTACCAGTAGCTAACAAAGCAAAATAAGTAACAACACAAATTTCTGACAGGCATTAGAAACAAGGATGCTAGACAGAATAATTGCTTTCTTTTAGACTGATGTGAAAAAAACAGCCAGCATTAAGAGTGAGTTAAAAAGGAACATCAGGTTTTGCCACAGAGACCAGTGGGCTAACACTCCCATTTCTCCTTTTTCCTCAGATAAAAATGAAGTAAATGCATAATCTCATCTGCTTGAAGTCACAGTTCCACTGGGGTCAGGATACCAGCAATTTCTTTTACATAAAATGTCTCTGAATTAGTTTCTTCCTTGTTGACTTCCTGAAACTAAATGATCAAATCAGTTATCCTACAAAGAGCATCTCCCTTGTGAGATCCCTGAAATATAAGGAAGTTTTCCTCTTTATTTTTGGTTTTTGTTGGGTTTGGGTTTGGTTTGTTGGGGTTTTTTTTCGGGGGGAGGGGGGCAGGAATTCATAATTTGTCTTGGTTAGGGTGAATACCTCAGCAGTTATCAAAGAGAATAGTTTGAAATTTGTTGACTTGCTATCAGAGCCAAATACTAAAGGAACAGCCAAGGACTGAAAACTAGGGAGCATAAAGACCAGGGAAAAATCACAGAATATTCTGAGATGGAAGGGACCCACAAAGATCATCAAAGACCAGCTCCTGGCCCTGCACAGAACAGCACAAATCAAATAACTAGATCTTCATGAAGATTGCTCTCCAGTTCTGCAAGTGTATTTTATATCAAAACATTAAATAATTTTTCATTAATATTCACAAAAAAAAGAAGGTGAACTATTTTCCTATTGTTGTGATTGATATTAAAAAACAATAGCAAATACCTCTCAGCACTGGTTTTGGATCTGTTTTAAATCCTTCTTAACATTTCCTCATTGTAGCTCATTTCTGTTACTAAGCAGGGACCTTTTCAGGGACAATTCTAGTAGCCATGTGAGCCTAAAAGAAAGAGAAAGAAAGGTTATCATATGGATTACTTGAGGCAAGCTTGCATGTCGAAGTAGAAAAAGTCAGTTATAAAAATAGTGAAATAAAAAAGCAAAATAATGACTGAACTGCTGGTTTTAAACAAACAAACAAACAAACAAACAAACCAACAAGGGAAAATCTTTCTGCACTCATCTTTCATCCCATTTTGAGGGGGGAACTACTTCTCACCCGGTCAAAATTTGCACTACAAGTGACTACAAGACAATCAACTGATGATGTGCAAATTTAAACTTAAATGGGCCTATCATCTGGAGGAAGGGTCTTGTCAATCTTTAATGTGATATTTTAGATTAAAAGAAAATAATTTGGATTGAGGAGCATGATATTACTTTACCCAGTGCATACAGACTGGGTCCCTGATTAAACTGTAAAAGTATAATGCACAATAAGCCCTTTTAAATTGAACCCTGGTACCACATACAAAACAATCACTGTAATGCACATTTGAGAAAAACTGACATCCTTCTCAATCTTAGTGTTTTAATTCACTGTTGTAATACTAAATGGAACATTAAATTCAATCTGAAAACTGGATTACTAAAATAAATGAAATGTTCATATATTTTTGTTTTATCTTTTACAGCCTTGTTGGATTTGCTTATACCTTTAAAAATAATTTATTACTTCATTATCTCTATTGTAATTGAACAAAATTATTTATACTATCTCTGAAGAAGTCATGCACACAGAGTTTCATTAGTTTGCAGTAATAAGTGAGCACATAAAATTTGAATAGTTTGCAGTAGCAGGGAGCCAGATACAAATGAACAGACACAACAGTGCAAAGGTTTCTGGCCATGACAAGTGACATGTGAGCATCTTGAAACCTGAATATGAACCTATCTGAAAGTCTAAATCACAACATAAAAAGATAACTCTAAATTCATTGCAGTTGATTTTTCAAGTTCAGTGTTAGTTTGTGTGAAGTTGGGCATTATTTGTATGCCATCTCGGGAATTTCCTTTACAATAGTCCTTATGCTTGCCCTGTTCTTTTTCAGACTTCATCCTGTTTATTTACCCTCAGAAAAGTGCAGTGAAACCCAAAATTTGAAGGCACCCATGATGTCATTACCGTTCTACCAAAGACACCACGAGCACTATGACCGTGCATACCGCCACAAAGCGCTGTCGTCCACCGTGAGCCAGTACCAAAAGGAGACAAAGAGCAAATCTGCTGTCTATGCTCAAGGATCTGCAGCTTATGCCAGGGGCTCCGCAGCCTACCGCCACTCATCTGCAGCAGGCTTCAGCCTTGACTCCTCAGCAGCTTACAGCCATGGCTCTTCAGCCTACGACCTCGAGTCGGCAGCCTACAGCTATGGATCTGCAGCCTACGACCACTCTGCCGCGCAGAGTAAGAGATCTGCTGCCTACAGCCTTGACTCTGAGTCCCTCAGCACCAGCTCAGCTGCCCACAGCCATGCATCTGAATCCATCAACAAGCTGGCTGCAGCCTACAGGCTGGGATCTGAAGCCTACAGCATTGGGTAAGTAAATCCGCCTTCAAAAGAGCATTCTGGCAGAAAAATGCCCAACCACTTTCCATTGGAAACAATGGCAGAACTCTCTTCCTCGTCCTTATAAAGTTCCTCTATGACTTGACATTGATGTATTTTCCTGGTCTGGTGTTTTCCCTTGGCATTGGCAATGGGAAGGACTGTGGTCAGCTTAGTTTGTTGGGCTAATCCGCGTGTGAAGGTTGGACTGTCATAAGAGTAGCAGTGTCAATGCTGATGTGGCTGAATGGTCACATATTCACACTCCAAACTGGTTAGGCATGAGCTACCCCTCCTTCCAAGTTGTTTAGCCACATTAATACAGCTGAATTTTAATATGAGGAGTTGAGATAGCTTTGGATTGAGGCTGTCTCTTATCTGGCAAGGTTGGAGTAGTAAAAGAAGTCAGAGTTCTTCATGCAAGTTTAAGTTGATGTGTGCATACATGATTAATTCTTCTTTGGCCTAATAGTTTCACTTTTGTGCTGAGTGATTCAAGAAACTGAAAATTTCACACTGTATATTGCTTGAGGCATACTATTTCCAAAGCAAAAATAACCTGAAGTGTCCACCTTACATGAGAAGTTATGCTTAGCTCTCATGTTTTTTTTTAAATTTAAGACAATAAATATTGCTCAAGCAATAACATTAGCAGAATATTTTTGCTATAATAGCCTCATATTATTTGTATGTATATGTCTCAGAGATTTACAGAAATTAGGGAAGTATTAAAGTAAGATTAGAGCAGCTGTTAACAATAGAGGAAACAATCAACAAATTATAGCTCAAAACATCTGCTCTCTGTTATATTAATATAAAATTAAGAGTACCATCAGCAGAACTGATCAAAATTTGTCCACCAAAAAATTTAAATTTTGTAAACTGAATATCCTCCCAGGATTGTGGATAATGGTGAAATCTTGACCAAAACCAGTGAGAGAAAGACTACACGTACCACAGTAAACAATACCTTGTGATTTCAGCCTTCACTTGGCTTTCAAGAAGCTCAGGGTCCAATCTGTATTTGCCAGAGTTTGTTCAAGAATTTGAACCTCAGGCTGTTACAGCCCAGGTGAGTGGCTTTACTTAACTCCTCACTACAAGAAAGACATTGAGTTGCTGGAATGTGTCCAAAGAGGGGCAACAAAGCTGATGAAGGTTCTGGAGCACAAGTCTTACCAGGAGCAGCTGAAGGAATTATGGCTGTTTAGCCTGGAGAAAAGAATGCTTGGTGGAGGCCTTATCACTCTCTACAACTATCTGAGAGTGTAACCAGGCAGGGGTTGGTCTCTTCTCACAGTTAACAAGACAGGATGTGAGGAAATGTCCTGAGGTTGCACTAGGGGAGGTTTAGATTGGATATTAGGAAGCATTTCTTCACTGAGAAGGTGGTCAGGTATTGGAATAGGCTGAGCAGGGAAATGATGGAATCATCATTCTTGGAAGTGTTCAAAAAATGTGTGGATGACAGACTTAAAGACATGGTTTAAGGATGGGCTTGGCAGTGCTGGGTTACTGGTTGAACCTGATGGTCTTACAGGTCTTAGTGATTCTGTGATTCTATAGCTGAGTGTCTTAGGCTGGACTGTATCCAGTCTTTGATGTTGAAACTATTTTATTTGTGTAGATAATTAAGCACTGAGTAAAGCAGTGATAATTTCATTTATAATCTGCTGGTGAAGGGAAGAAAACTGGAGGTGGTGGGACTGAGGGTTATGCTTCCAAATGGAGCTGGGTAGGGGAAGATATGCCAAGTTTCTGCAGCAATGCAGCTGTGCCTGCACTCTGTTGCTGACCCTAACCCAAAGCTTCCTTTTTCTTGAAGAAAAGGTTTCTATAAAAAAAGAACTTCAAGTAGTAAAAAATGATTGTTAAAAAAACCTGTTTCTGAGTCCTGCTTGCAAGCACTTCAACTGCTACATGAGTTTCTTCTGAAACTTGTGCGTTCTCATTAAGAAGTCTAATGTCAACTGTGTAATATTGAAGGAAATTAAATTGCTTAGTTGAGAGAGAACTTAAAAAATTCCCAAGTTTCCTGAGGTTTTGCTTGAGATTAAAGTTTTTGGCTTAAAATAGCATATTTGCATATATAATACTCTGTAGTACAGGAGTTGCCAATAGATTTTGCAGAGATAAGAATGTCTCAGCTGCAGTGTCTTAATTTCTCTGATCCTGTCATGGTATTGGAGGTTTGAGAAATTCATTGTTGCTAGCTAAGACAAGGACTCTGGAGATTAGATACATGTGATTCCAAGCTCTCTTACAAAAAACTTAATTGGCACAGGAGACAATATTTCTGAATTAAAATCTCAGTATTTAACTTGGATTTATGTTTAATATAGCCTCTATGTTGATATTTCTTTCTTTTGTTCAGCCCATATTTCTGCAGTTTGCAAGAGGCAAAGCAGAAAATATAATGCAATTCTACAGTTAAATGTAATTCAAATTTGAAGGAATTATTGCCAAATTTGCACTGTCTTTCCCAAAATACTTCCAGGGGTAATGTGGAAACAACAAGTGTTAGTCAAATAAATTAGGAAAATCAGAGACTTTCTGTTTTCATCTATATGAAAAAAAAAAAAATAGGAAAGGAAAAGTGTAGGAAAAAATAAAAAGAGTCTTCCAAATCTTCCAATTTTCTAGAAGTAGAAAAGGCCTTGAATTGCAATGCTGTATCTAAATGACCTCAACAGTAGTGTTTGCTTGAAACCAGAATGGACACACAAATCCAAATCCAGACAAAATTTTTCAGCTAACAATTGATGATTTCATATCAGTGAATATCATCATCAAATATACATTTATGCATAATGGATATAGTTTTGAAGAAAAACACCATTAAGCCCAGCAGGAAAACTCAAATACTGTTTTTATTCAGGTAACTTATTTTTTTAATCTAAAGTAGCTTCTGTTAAATTTATTGTTCTTGCAAAATTTAAGTCTCATTTTTTTCTGTAGTCACAGTACAGAAAATTGTTCATGAAGCAACAGTGTTGACGTGCTACAGAATGCTATGTGAGGAATTTATCATGGGGAAAGCAGTGGAGAAGGACTAGGAACTAGGTAACCTGCAAGACCTTGACCTGGACCCAGTTCCCCAGAAGCCTTGCTTGAGGGGAAAACATTCCCAGAGTGTGAACACAGGCAGTTTGAAGGAGCCATAGCTTGATTTTTCAGGAGGATGAAAAATTTCCCAAGTGCAAGTGGCCTGTCTCCCACATTTCAAGTCTTCTTCATACCACAACAGCTTGAGGAAGTACAAGGAGAGAAATGAAAATGGTAAAATCAAGAGCAAGTATGGAAGTTTGCAATTCTGCTGGTTGCAGTTGGCTAAAGGTGCAAACCTCTGGGCTCCAAAAAGAAAGGGCATCTCACCGTGCAGATGTTGCCTCTTCACACCCAGCCCTCCCCACCAGCTCGTGCAGATGTCTCTAGCCAAGCACTTCTTCTCTGGCTTCAGCAGAGGCAGGAAAAGTGGCACGTGCTGCTTCTCTTGAGGCTCTGTACAGGTGAGGGATGTATGCCTCCCACAAGCTGATGGTGTGGCCAACTTATCCTGTTCCCCATCCAATCCTTGGGGACTGTCAGCATGGGCAGGCTGGCTCCTGTGGGAAAACCTTCTTCCATAGCAGTGCTCCATCCTCCATGTGCTTCTGAGAAGCTTTGAGTCAGATCTGCCAAAGCTGCTTATAGCACTACAGGGCTGTCAGACAGGACTGCTGGATTAAACTCATTTAACTCTTTTTTTGTGGAAGCTCAGTGATTTGCCTTTGCTCAAACTTTCACAGTTTTCCATGTGTTATTCTCCTGTCCAGCAGTATCAGATAATCCCATTGTGTCACAGACAGATTATCTGCCACCAATAGGGTCATTCACCTGCTTAAAGGGGAAGCAAAAGTTACTGATGTGGCTCAGGTATTGGTGTGTATTTTGCAGGTGAGGTGAATCAGCAGAGAAGACATGGTGTAGTTCAGGTGTACCAAACAAAGAGAGGAGAAATGCCTTTCTAACTTGCAATTAATTATGCTGGCAGTGAGTGCCAATGCTCTTCTGAGCACCTTTGTAGCCAGGATAGGAACAAGGTTGAGTAAATAATGCACTACCAGAAACATGAGAAGACCATGATCTTGGCACTGCTCATCCTTTGGTTTATTATAGGTGAGGGTTAAGAAGCTGGATTCCAGATGTCATACCCAAGCATGGAAATTGTTTTAATGAGACCTGCTCTGTGGAAGCAATTCCCCTTCAAATAAAATGTTTGTGGAAGCTGTGTTAGGGAATATTGCCAGCAATATTGCCTGGGCTTGTGACAAACCTGTCAGCAATTTAAAATTAATATAGTCATCAGAGAGCATTTCTCATTTTCAGAGGCTGAATTTAAAGAGTTCTTTTCTGAACATATTTTTTCTCCCTTTCCTTTCCTGTAACTGGGTTTGCCAATCCACGATCTCCTGTTTACAGGAAGTTAAAATACTGCATATTGGGAAAGAAACAGCTGCTAAAAAGAGAGCCTGGACAAGGCCTCATGGCTAATGGAGCTTCTCCAGAAGGTACAGCTGGTGCAACCATTGTGTATAACATCATCTCTTTCTGCATAGGATGAGATAACATGATTTTGAAGAGGTGTAAAATATCTTATATGTGCCTTTTCATGCAGGAGTGAAATAAGTGAAGAATAGGGTGTTGTGGTCTGCTTCCAGAACACATTTCTACATCCACTGGGTGCAGACATTCTTTGGGCAGTGTGGGAAACCTGTCCCTTCAGGCACAGAAACAAGGGCAGTGCCAACATATTCTCTCTCTGAGAGTAAGACACCAAAACAGACCAAAGAATCTGTTTGTGAGCTGCAGACGCCCTGCACAGTGTTTTCTTTAGTTCCTCTGTTAGGCTAGAGGGAAAAGTTAATAGCATCTGTTTTTTACATCTCTACAGAACAATACCTGTGCCTTTTACAGCTCAGTGGCTCTAATGAAAAACCAGAAAAATGCTGCCATTGATATTTTAACATGCTGAAAACCACCCTGAAGTAAGGACAGTAGGCTTAGGTCAGCAACCTTGATAAGACAGTACAGATAATATCTGACCTGGAAAAAAATATACATATGCTAGCTGGGCATATCAAATGAGGCTGAAAGATGTTAAAAGGTCATGGTACTGTTCCTCCCTATGAAACTAGAGAGCACTGATACCCTGCTCTTGCTCCTCTGGGGAGATTCTGTTCCACATATCAGGTAAAAGGTTGGAGTGTTTTAAAATAAAGGGCAAGATTTTAGAATCTGGTTCAAGAAACAGAGTCCTCCTTTGGGCCACCTAAATAATAGTTTTAGGCAGGATTTTATTTTTGTGTTGCACAGGAAGAAATAGTAAAAACACAGTAAAACAGGGGAATAAACCTCATGATAGAATAGTGTTTAACCTATTTTCTCAAGCAAAGACCTCCATTTGAATATGTGTTTCTGCCAGCCTGCATCTAGCTCTGCCAGAACAGAAGCAAATTGTAGAATTCAGAAAAGATAAATATTTTCTGGTGCTTTAAATTTATTAATCTAATCTCTTGGTTTATGAAGTGCAATTCTAAAGAGCATTTTGGAGTGACTCTAGGTATCCCTCTGAAAACACCAGCTGGGTGCTCTGGTATGGTCATGAAGGTGAGATATTCAACTTCAAAAACTTGGAGTGTTTGAATATAAAAACAGCCTCCAAACAAACAGAACCTATAGCAATTTATTCTTTTCAAATAACTTTAGAGAGATAGAAATGGAAGATAGTAAACCCCCAGTACCATACAGGAAAGATCTCAACAAAATGCCTAACAAGGAGTGATGGGGACTGCTGTATATGCTTCCCATTAATTCCCTGCATTAGTGTGTAATCTGGACCCTAAATAACAACTAAACTGACTGCAAAGTCAAACTCTCTTTTAGCAATAATATGTTGGTCTGGATTTAACAGTGCTGTAAATACCTGAGTTGAAATTTTCACCACATTTCAACTACATTTATGAAAATAGAAACTTCTAGACATTTTAACTTAAGTTCAATTGGTAATGTGATCCTTCTTGATCTAGAAACAACCAGGAATCTAATGGCCTCCTAACAGGTTCAGCCTAAACTCTGAGGAAATCTAATGTCTGTCAGAGTCAAAACTCCAGCTTTGACCCATTTTTAAATAGGACAGGAATAAAAGTCACCTGCTAAGTAAAGATCTGAAGCTCCTTACAGACTCTATTTCAATTAAGAAAAATAATGAAAATAGCTTGCCTTTGATGTTTCTTATCACTTACTTGATGAGTTCTGCCAGTGCATTTGTGGTTTGCCATAGTGATTGCACCACATCATTGTCCAACCCAGGAGTAAGGCCATTGCACACCCTGTTTCAATGTGTCTCTTTATTTTACTCCACCTGGACTGTTCCCAAGCGTTTTCTGCTTGAATCTCTGTCCCTAAAGCTGGATCTGCCTCTCTTGTACTCTGTCCCTGGCTGTCCTGGGCAGTGCCTGGTGTCAAACCCCAGAGCCCACAGCATCTCTCTCCTGTAGATGTGGTCTGTGCCTTGGCTGACCCAGTGCTGCCTGATGTGGGAAACCCTTGGCCCCAGTCCTGCAGTGTGTGCAGGTCCATCACCAGCTGTGCCTTCTTCTGCATGGAAACCAGATTACAGGGAGAGGAGGAAGGAAGGAGAAGCAGTGCATGGTTGCTTTTACCTCCTGCACTGAGCATTTCTTGGCAGCAGTGCTGTAGGCTCGGTGATGGTGGCACCTGGGGAGCACAGAGGAATTACATTAAGAAAAACAGCAAGAGAGACAGAGATTGGGAGACTGATTTAACAGGAACTGGGTAGGGAGAGAATGCAGCCTGGGAAAAGGGATGGACACAAAGAAATGAAAGAAGGAAAGATGGGAGAACGAAAGTGGACCTGTGTTATCTCACACACAGTCTCAGTGGATAGATTACTAGCACGTATTTTGGAAACTAAGTGTGTTGGTGGTGGTACTTTTGCAGGGATACAGCCTAAGGAAAACATTAGCCCAAGGATATAATATTATATTACAATTATGCATGTGTAACATTCCCAGGGGCCCAGCTTTAGCATGGGTTTTGATACATGTGTACAGCGTGCTGTGTAGAGACACCAGTGTAAGCAATCCAGGGTGTGGGAAGCAGGTTATCCCTGACAAAGGCACATGTCAGGGCTAACAAGCCTTGCTGAGAAACCATCATTCTGCTCCTGTATCTGCACATGTAAGCAGGGAGTTCATACTGTGTAGACAAATCCCCAGACCAGAAGACTCATGTGTGATTTTCTATGGTGATGCTGCAAGACAGGTGAATAGACACTTTGGGGATTTATAAAAGGCTGAAAAATAATTAGCATATTCCATTGGTATGGGAATTAGAGATGTGTTACTTTAGCAAAGGAGGACCAGGTGTTTCGAGCTTTGTTTACACAATTCGTAACTATTAAAAAAATTCACCTAAAATGATTTCCTCAAATATGATTCATGCTCTTCAGAGCCCCCCTGAGGCTGATGAGGATGAGAGGAAGCTGTTCCTCCTTTTCAGTCATCCTCCATTTATCTGTGCTATCTTAGATGGTGCTACTTCACTCAACTCTTCTCTTCCAATGTATTGGAGCAGTGTGTGACAGCAGTGGGAATGGCAACACTGGTTTCTGAGCAACGCAGTGCCCTACAATTGCTGTAGAGAGACTTAAATGATCTTCCCAAGTCCCAAACCAAAAGCTATTAAAAGTACATTGCTGCCAGGTATATTGTTTACTCTATTTAGATTTAATATCAAGGGGCATAAGCAGTATGTTTGTAATGATGAGATTGTTAAAAGTACACCTAATTATGTTTTTAGTAACTTCAAAACTATGGCTATTAAAAATTATAAATTCTTGATTACAAAACAATGCAGCAAAAATTTTTATTACTTTAATTGTATTTAATTACTTTTATATTACTTTAATTGTACTTTTGAGTGCTTCTTAACAGCTTTTTTCCTGATTTTAACAATGTAATTTTTATTTCAGACTGAAAAATTCCAACCTAATGATAGAAGATCAGTCCTATAAGATGAGTCCCAAAGCAAAGAGAGCAAAACAGAGTTTGATATCAGAAGACAAAGAGAATGAAGCCTTAGACTACTCAGTGCCCATATTCACAGGACGGTATGTTCATTTTCATTTTGTTTGGTATCTTATTTCTGACATTTTATTAGCAAATTATAAAATAACAAATCCATTAATCTGTCTTTACACATATGGATCTTATGGTGATAGTTTGCACTTCACACGAGTGATAAAAAGACAAAGAGAAACCAACTGACTGGCAGAAAACTGGACATTGTTCATCCAGAGCCAGGATAAATGAACCTATGTGTCTGGACTTTGTTTTGAACACATTGTCAGGGCCACTTTCTATGAAATGAAAATATAATTAGAACCCCACTGGGAACCTGACAAGCACATTGTCCAAATTATTTAGCTTATTCTTTTGGTTTGAAGACTTGTTCTGTGATCAAATATCTCTTACCAAGCATTAAACATAGAAACAGTGAAACAAAGTGCTAATGTCTTGTCCTGGCACAGGGAAAACCTGGAATAAAACCAAATGCTTTCTCAAATCCATTGTAATGATTCGTACTGATCTCACATGTTGGTGGTATTTATTGCATGGTTACTACTGATGTAATACATCTTACTGCAGCAGTGTTCTCAGTAAAGCTGAATGTGAACTTTATGTGAAAGCCAGAACCAGCATCAGCAAAGAGGCTCCCCTGCCCTTTTTGGGGTATGGCATGGTGATTTCAGTAGGAGTCTCCAGCAGTTCCAGCATAGTCACTTGTTCAGATTAATATAGATTGGGGTGTAGAGGAAAAAACTGGTTACTGGTTAGAGGCCAGGAAAAAACTTCTTGCCCACCTGCAGTTGAACAGAAACCTCCCTTCAACTTGTCTTTCCTCTGCAGCAGATCATTTTTCAAGGGACATTTCCAAGTTTTTTTCTGGGAGCCAGTGCTTTTCTGTCTACTTCTTAATGAACACCCAATGCACTTCTGCTTTATATCCAAACTTGTGGTTTCACATGAACTTAGTTCCAGCTTGTCAGTGGAGGGTGTTATTTCTCTGGCCTTCTGAGCATTTGTGATGCTTTTGTAATGAGAGCAGTAGTTTTGGTTTTTATTAACTCCCTCCCACTATCTCAGAGTAATTTTTTCTCACATTGTACATTCCTGTGCTGGTTTCACTGCTCTTTGATCCAACCAACATTAAGAAACATACTGCTGCCTCTTTTAAAAATTGCTTTGGAGTTTCATCTGTATCTTCTGTGATAGAAACACATAAAAATGTGACAGTCTCATGCAAAACTTGAGACAACATATTCTCAAGGCTTCTCACTACTTTTGCATCTCAGCCAGTGTTTATATTTGTGTAGCAGATTTGCAGCTCACTGTCATCTGTCTCCCATGCCCTCAAGCACAAATATCCTCCCTTTTTATTGTATCTTGAGTCTACACAAGTAAAATTTATAGTATTGGGCAATAGTTGAAAAACACAACTTTTGATTAGTACTTAGCTTTTTTACAGGCCTCTGTGATCTTACTACATCATGTTAACATCTTAACAAATATTAAGAAATAATTTATTTTATTTTTTAATGCATACAGTAATATCTAACTCAATGAGATGGTGTGGAGCTTCATTTATTTGTGTCTGTAAAATATTTTGGGCCTCTGTTTGGGATCCTACATTAAAAAGTACTGTCAGATTCTTACATCGTTGGTTTTTTTTGGTTTGGTTTGGTTTTATCTTTTTTCTTTTCTTTTTTTTTCCCTATTTTTGGTGTTAACCATACTTTTTGCTTATGGCAATTCAGAAAGTTGAGTGTGCTTTTCTGCCACTGAAATGATCCAAAAAGTTTTCATTTTGTTTATGATTTATTTTTATAAATTTTTAAAAATTAATTAAAAAGAGGATATGATGACTGTTGAATGCTCAACTCAACATGGCATGAAACAGTATCTGGTTTAGGCTTTTCACTGTTGGCATCATGCTCATGACCACATGCCAAGACTGTGGAAGTTGCATGCCACATTCCAGTCAGATATTTATTTTTGTTTGAAAGATAACAGCTGAAGCCCATTGAACCATGTGCATGCTATATGTCATTCCCAAATTCCCCAGTGAAATTGATGTGTTGTTTCCCATGGGCAGAGAGCTGTTAAAAGGAATAGTTATTTATAAAGGTCATATCTCTGTGGGTTTGTTGGGTGACCTTCAGCGATGTGTCACCATTTCCATTTTTTAGTTCTACTTCAGAACCCTCAGGTTCTGCTGTAGAAAAAATATTTTGCTCAGATTATTCACTTTGCAACTGATCCTTTTAAACACCTGAGCTAATCCTTGCAAGAGAAGATTGTGGACAGCCAGACAGAATTTTAGGCAGTAAAACACCCAGAGCTTGATGTAATGCCATAAGTGCTGAAGTTTCTGAATGTAGCTCATGGAATTATTTACAATCACTAGTAAGCCTATGCCAAAGGACTGTAGTTGGCAGATATCCTTAAAACTATATTTTGCCTTTGCCATTTGGGGTTGGATCTGGTTGTATCTGTTTGAAAACAATTCTCTACTGAAACCCTTGAGGCTTGACTGTAAAATCAACTCTTAAATGGTATGGTTTGCTGGTTTAGTGCATTTGGCATTTCAGGGAACATGTTTCTCTTTGATCTAGGAAGATTATAACAGGGAGAAATTATTAGAAAATCTAAATATTTAATACTGTTGATCAAAAGCATCTGGGGATTACAACTGCAGATGACTAGGATGGGATCTAATTTAGTCAGAGGATATTCATCAGCTCCCAAAAGATGCCTAATGCCTTGAGAAACAAGTCCATACTGTGAAGTTACTGAGATCTTAACTGCTGTAATTAAGGAGGAAAGAGTATTAGTTTCCCCTTGAAGAAAAATGCCATGGATTAATTTAAAACAGAACTGTAGATAGCTATATTCACATTAATTATAGTGATTTTTCAAAATTGTTTTTAAAAATCTCTTCCATATATCTGTAGCTTCAGGTGATATTTGTGGGGACAGCTGATGTGCCTAAGTGGAGTGAATCTATCATTCCACTGATTTCTTAATAATCATTCTCTTAAAGCAGGCTGAAACACAGGAAGTTGAGTTTGAGGGTGGTCAAATCTCTATGCTGTTAAGTAAGATTTTTAGTCTTTTCAGCAGCTGTTAAATGTAATTAAGTTTACAGTGCATTCCACTGCTTGACTGTCTTGTGTCTTGCTGAACTGACTTCATAGATAAGGCACTGGACACTTAATTCTGAGCTTAAATTCATAATTTTTGAGTATTGAGATGTGCTATTGAATGCATAATATTGACAATCTTAAAGAAAACAGAAAAAAAATCTTCCTTCTATTTTTTTGCTTTGTAGTAGTAGTAGTGTTCTATGATAAAAGAGAGGCGCTCTAGAAACAGGGGTGATATTTCTATAGTGCTTGCAAGATGGCACTTAGTGAGAACTTAAACAGAATTTGTTCTCTGTGTGCTAATGTTCCCTTAAAGTAACTAAATTCAGCAGGACAATATTAATGCTTCTTCTCAAGTCAAGGAACTCTCATTGCATATGCAATACTACAGCAGCTGTAATGTCCTGACAGTGCCAAAACAGTTTGGCTTTAAAGGTACATCCACATGTGAGAGTGGAAACAGGATTGCACCCACTGAGAGCTCTTTGTGTCTCACTTCTCAATAAAGCCTGGGGAGGAGGCTTCAAGAAAGTCCATAGTTATCTTCCTGGAAGCAATATAGGATGGAATTTTCCATGAACGAAGAGAACTTTTTATTATCTACAATTATATGGGGGGGTGTTTATAAATCATGAATGAGGACATTGTTTCACAGCTACAATCATCTACTCCCCCTTTGGCAGTGTTGTTACGAACGCTGCAGCTGTAAGTTAGTACCTGAAGATCTGTGGTTTTGCCTTACACTCATCTTTATAGTGATGGAGATAAAAAAACACAGAAGGATAGTGTTCTGAACATGTGTATGGCATATTTAGAGGGAGAGGCCCTGAAAATGCCCATGACTTTTGACAGTGAAATGCTCATTCTTTCTGCAGAATCCCTCCCATGTTTCTGCTATGAATACATATGAGAATGTAGCAGCAGAAGTGTTGGCCACTGGAGTGGCTAATTTAGTAGCAAGTAGAAATGGAACATATTCTCAGCATTTTCCAATGGCATTCTGCTTTTAAAAAATTCTTTCAGAGCAGTGAATATCAGTGGTATCACAGACACCGAAGAAGAGAGAATTAAAGAAAGTGCTGCATATGTTGCCAAGAGGAACCTTTTTGCCACAGGGGAAGGAGTTAGTGTCAGCAAGGTGGCCAAGACAACTTCTGAAGAGCAACATCATGAAAAAAAATCAAGGAAAGTTGCGATCCGGGAGTCTGCTGAACGTGTAGCCATGAAGAAAACGGTAAAAGATTAGAAATTAATACTTAAGCTGGGAAAGAAAATTAGTCTTTTTTTTTTTTTTTTTTTTGTTTTGGTGTTTGTAAACTGCCTAGCACACCAGTGCCCTGATTTACTCCATGGGCAATCACAAGAATGGTAGTAATAAAGCCAAGTATTTTCAATGGAAATCTCTTGAATTACTTAGAAGTCTTATTATCTAGGTATCAAATGGATAAGGAGAGAGGCACTGCACCCAAGGCAGGCACCAGGAACACTTCTGTTGTGCTGAGAGAAAAGGACAGAGTAGGGGACCAGGGAAGTCTCTTTGGTCATTGCCACACCTATTTAAAAGGCACAGCATCTTTCCTTCACCTGGTGGATGAGGCAGATGCTGGGGAAAGAATAAAGGTGTCTACATATATAAATATCTATATATCTATATATGTGTATGTGTGTGTGTATATGTATATATACATTGACAGATATAGATATAGATATACATATACATATATATATATATCTTGCTCATAAGTAGGTGAATGGGTAATTTCTGCACTTTATGGCCTGAGAACAAGCTTGTCCAAAGTGTTCACCCCAGAGTTTTAATCATTGGGTATAAATTAGGACAGAATTAGGGTAAATTAGGTGTAAATTACAAAAATCTGGAACTGAATCGCTAATTGTGCGCATTATTGTCCAACTTCCTAAAAAATAACACTCAGAGCATAGTTACAAATATGTTGTCACCAGGTCAGCAGGACATGTAGGTGCAAATATGTTTGATTTAGCAAATATATTACTTTATTTCTATTAGTATACTAGGTATATTACTATACTATCCTATACTATACTATTACTATGTTTTATTATTTATTGTTTTGAGCAGAAGAATTGGCAGTATGCTTATAGAATATCCTTATGACATAAGGTTGTAAGGAAAGGGTGTAAACACTTTCAAAGACCAGGTAAAAAAAGTCAAATTCAACTCAACACTTGAGAAACAGTGAGGATGAAATTTGATAACAACCATTGGAAATTACTACACACAGAAGGAAAAGATCAAGTAAATGAGGAATACCTGGCTAAATAGAAGTACTTCAGGATCTGAGAGTTATAAAAGGTCACAAATTTAAAGTCAGCCAATTTAATGAGAGTTGTAGAAATACAGGTACCAATCTAGAGTATTATCAGTGACACATAAGGGGCAGTTATTTAATTGTGTTGGAATCTGTTTGGCTTATGATAATGAGCAGTCACTGTTTGATGAATGTTGAAGACAAATAGAACCTGTCCAGGACTGAGAAACCATTGTAAGGAAAATTAGTATTGCCCAGGTTATAAAAGTCATCTTTTAATAATCTGAATACCTGTAATTCTCAATATATTTGAAAGTTAGGGCAGAAAATAAATTATTTAGTTTGCAGAAAGCAAGATTGATACCATATTAGGAGTTTTTTTTCCAGCTTTGTGGATAGTCAAGGAGTTGAACCAGTTACCTTGGGAGGGTTTTCATCCTATCAGGAGGAAAGATTTGAAAGCAGTTCTCTCAGAGATGATCTTGGCATAGAGAGCCTTGCCTTACAGCACAAATACAGAAGGCATCTGAGTTTCTGGCCTATTTCACCTTCCACTCTTTATTTAAAGTAATAAATAAGTAATTAAATGTGGAATATTATTTTACTTATAATAGTTTTGAGGGAAAAAGCCCTGTAAAATCAAATCTAGTTACTTTAGAAGGAGAACTTATGGAAAATGAAATCTGTCTGGATGTTTAAATAAAAATTGCAGGGAGGGATTGCCTCTTCTTTTTTTTTTCCTTTTTTTTTTTTTTCCTTGTTTGTTTTTTTGGTTTGGTATTAATAATTTGCACTTCGGGTGTATAATAAATTGTTTCTTTTCCAGCTAGAAGAGACTCAGGCATTCCATAAAAAGTTGAATCAAGATAAACTCTTACATGCTCCTGAGTTTATCATTGAGCCCCGTTCTCACACTATCTGGGAAAAGGAAAATGTTAGATTTAATTGTTCCGTGGCTGGCTGGCCTGAACCCCGTGTTACATGGTAAGTTTGTATCCCTGGCACTAAAAGTCACCGCTTAACCAGAGTCTGAAGTCATCTTAGTAAATGTGGTCATTTTTCTGGAAAGATAGAAGTTAAATTAAAAAACAAACCAAAAAAATCAGGTACTGATGGCAGGCCTATCAAACACCTTTCAAGTCACATTGTACAGCAAAAGAGCATATTAAAATGAAGTAATAAGAATAACACCACAAATAATTATATAATTCTTATAGTAATTTAATTAATAAAATAATATTTAAAATATTTGTGTAACAGCACTAGGAATACATGGACTTTTTTTTTTATTTGGTAGAGATTTCAAATATATTCCTCCCATCAATGATTAAGGAAAAATAGCAGTTTAATTTATCATACTATCTTTGATTATGTTTTCCAAATAGTTGAGTTTAGTTCTACAAATGACACTAATGTCCCTGAAGCATTAAAGCAGGCTTTGTTCAAGAGCAAACTTTTTGCCAGCTGAGCAGCTACAGAGCTGAATCCCCATGAAATAGAAGTCCCTTGATGGTGCTGTGAAATCTCAGTAATGATCATGTGTTCATAGCAGACACATTGTCAGTGTTTGAAGTCAGTGACTTCAGGTAGATCTGGAATCATCCAAATAAGATGAAAGCTTTGGAAATATTGGAAAATTTTACAGAATCACAGAATATGCTGAGTTGGGAGGGAAATATCTACTATATCATAATGTTATGTAATGATCATATATTGCAGTTTGCTTCTTGAATTGCTTAAGGGACTCTGCATTTATTTAGGTCTTAAAAACCTTAATCTCAGGGCTTGTCAAGAATTGCTATTAAGAGGTATATTAATAGGACAGAGTTGAGTCCACGAAGTCACTGATCTCTCTCCTGGGACTCTGACAGCCAGACATGGCTGTCTGACATGTGTCTGCATGGGCACAGTTTTCTCATCCCACAAGGGTTGTAAGTGCCCATGTTCACATTCCACTTGGAGAGGATTCCAGGCAAACCCTTCAGATCTGGTCTCAGCTGGATATAAGCAATGGTCAGCTACGCTCATGGCTGTAGTCCAGCTCTGTAAACTGAATCCTACCCAAGAATTCAAGAGCTGGGTCATTTTCATTTTGGTTGAGATTCATCTTATCCCCAAAACCTGACATGGTTAAACTGAGCCTTCAGCTGTCTGTCTTTGCTCTCACTGTGAACCAGCCTTTCATGTAAGTGCTAAATGTGGACAGTGGAAATTAATACATCATTTTACTGTACATCTGAGTTCCAAAGGGATTTCATTTTGCCACAGGCTACTAATGAAAAAAAAAAAAAATGAGATCACATCCTTTTCAGCAGGTGTCTTTGCTCTAAGATATAGAGCAGTGCTGACCTGGATCTGTCACCTTTCATTCAGCCTTTCTAATAAAATGTCAGTAAAGTATTGCAAACAGTCATTCTTTGTATAAGCAATGAAGACCTTTCCATGCTGTGCCTGAAAAACTATAAAGTTTTATTAACTTTCTTTAAAGAAAACTGTCTGATGCAGCTGTTCTGACTCCCCTGGGAAAAAAAAAAAAGCATATGGAAAGGACATTTGAAACCAGTAGCAGAAAGCATAAATTATCAGTGGCTAATGACAGTGGGAGGTTGCAGTCCCACATTAGCTAATGACTTGGCTGCTCTGGAATTTGCATTTCCAGAAATAACAAGTGGTCCTTCCAACATGGGTCCTATTCTTTCTGTAGATGAATATAAATAAGAAAAAAATTGAATCAATTATTTTTTACTAACCTGATAATGGTGACAAAAGTAGTGGAGGTCTTCTTGCTGCTGGCATGACCCAGTAAAAGCTTGTTTTTGCACAGCACATGCTACCAAACAACTTTGCTGCCATAGGATCCAAGAATTTCACAGCCCTTTGGAGAAAATTTAAAGATACTGTGCAGTTAAGTCCTGTTTACACAATTTCATAGTCCCTGGAAAATATTAAGAACTGATAGGATTATTCTATTTTCTAAAATATTTGAGACACTAGATGTGATGTAGAGATGCCCTGATGTTCCCAGGCAGTTCAGTCTGGGGGCACCAGCTCACAGACTGGGTGAAGAGTGGTGAATATATTACTCTTGCTGGACTAATGTATTATTCTTTGCCTAAGGCAGGATAATAGAATAATGAGGTCAGGCATCTCTGCAAATGATTGATGTGCAGAACAGAGAGTACTGTCTTGCACTGAGTCCCTTTTCAGGGACATTTTGCTGAGAGGAAGATGAGGATAAAAAGCATTAGGGTTTATGGTCCTTACTCACTTAAGCCCTTGGAAAACTCTCAGTGTATTTCTATGCCCAAATATTTGTAGTCAGGGAAATATTCTTTATTATTTTTATGTATTATTCTTTAAAATGCTGATGGTGCTGAAAGACAGTTTTCAGATTTATTGTGGATATAGCTTCATCTTGAGATATATTCAACAGATAATATTCTTGGTGAAAATAAAATTGTTAATTACTGATTTGTTTGGTGAAGTGGAGCAAGCCGCTGACACCAGACCAGTTCTCTTTCCTGACTGAAAATCATCAAAGGTTTAAAATATAAAATCTGAAATGAAGAAGCAAATTTCTTTGGCTATCTGTTGGGAGAAGAAAGATTTATTTCTTCTACATCAGAGTAAAAGAGAAGATACTTTTTTCTGTCATCCTTTATCATTTCACTTTCTTTACACACACACACACACACTTACATGTGTATATATATATATATATATACACATCTTATGAAGAACAGGGAAAGCTATGCAAAGTGGGACACTCTCTTAGAAAACATTTTTTCTTTATGGACCTCAAATCAATGCCAAATGTACTGAATACAATTCAGAGTGCAATTTATTTATTAGACTTCTATTGCCAGTTTTTTCCATATTTCCAATGCCTGCTTAAGACAGGATTCACTCAAACATTTACTTGATTACACCATATATTGTCCAGAATGAGCAACATTTTACACAACAATTGAAGAGTAATAATTTATCATGCACCACTGTTCTTCCACTATGAGAGTCTCAAGCTGTTTGTATAAATTCTGAAATTAGCAGTAACAGCTCACCACTGATTCATTCATTGCTTCAAATTATGTACTTATGTACTTTTACATATTTTGGAATTTTGAACAGTAAACCTTTCCTACCTGTGCCAGAAAAACACTCATAGTGTATGCCAGTCTAATCCTGTTAAGTTGCAAGTAAACAAAAAAGTTAACCTTCTGCCTGGCATTTTTTGTGCATATGAAGGTTTTAAAAGTAGGTCAAATATGCAAACCAAACAATATGTTTATGATAGCTAGTAAGTAAGGAGTCTACAAAATTTTTATTTGCTGTTTACAACTCTGAGATGTTGCTCATGTGACTCCTCCTTTCTTTTACAAGTAGTAACGTGAAGTTTGTGGTAATATGAACTGATTTTCATCCCACTCAAGACTATTTTCTTCTTTTAATTTGAGAATAAAATCTACCTGGGGCAGGCCAAAGAGAGAGAGAGAAAGGTTACACTTCCAAAGACATGTAATGTCTTCCCAGGAAGTTAGACTACAGTTTATCTAGGAGAAACATGCAGGAGCTGATATTCTACTTCAAATATCAAGCACTTGACCTTTTAAAGTATAGAATGATTTCTCTTTGTGACATACTGCTTCTTTGCTTTTCCATAGGTACAAAAACAACGTGCCCATTGATGTACAGGCTCACCCTGGCAAGTATATCATTCAAAGTCGATATGGGCTGCACTCCCTGGAGATAACTGAGTAAGGAAATATTAAATAATTTAACAAACAGCTTAAGCTGAACTGTAGGTATAAAATGAGAGCTGCAAAATGTGAACATATCTCTTGGGATATGTTATCTTGCAGGAGATATCAAGTCAGGTGATATCAGAGGTATCAACTGTGGTGAATGCTGTCTTCTAAACATTGAAGCAGTTCTGGTTTACCTCAGTAGAGGACATGCAATTTACCTGAATTATTTATCTGGATTATTTCTCTTGATATTCTATTTATGGCCGAGTCAGAAAAGTGGGACATCTATGATTCCTTTTTCCATCTATTTGCTTGATGAGTACAATTAAACATGTAAAAATATGTAAGCTAACTGTTTTTCAAATATAGCAGAGTTCACAATTCTTACTGAAATCAGGAACAGAACCAAGATGTCCTCACTTATATACAAGATCTTTAATAGTACTCATCTTCCAAGTGGGAAATTTCTGCACTGCCTTTGCATTAAAAACATTGAAAACATAAGACCTAATCAACAACAACCTGGATTTGACAATTTATATACTGACACATGCCCTTTGAAAATATTTTATGAAATCTACAATTTCTACAAGTTCCATGTTAGGCATCTCTTCATAGAGACAGTAAATTAGTGATGGTTTTTACTAGTTATTCTGTATTCCTAATTTCAAATCCATAAATGATATTTGAAAAGAGGCATTCATTTCAAACATTGGGATTTAACATTGAGAAAAAATCTAATGGCTACAATCTGTCCAGTGTCCAGCATGTCTGTCTCTCAGGCTTTTTACTTTATGGATTTTACCCAGATTTCTGAGGGTTTTCTTAATCTAAAACACCAGAGAGGCTATGCCAGGGAGTAAATGGGTGCTCTGCCTAATCATTTCTATGATTTCAGATGTGAATTTGACGACACTGCCCAGTATCATGCCTCTGCTATGAATGTTAAAGGAGAAGTTTCGGTTTATGCTTCCCTCGTGGTAAAGAGTAGGTTGCAAAAAATTTCCTTCAAGGTTTTTTGGGTTTTTTTTGTTGTTTTTTTTTTTTAAGATGCACATTACCAATTTTGGTTTTGTGTCTCACAGAGACTTTACCTTTTGGTGATGGTGACACATTTTGTCCTTTTCTGTGTAGGGTACAAGGGAGAAATTGACGCAAGTCTTTTGCATGCTAGAAATCTTTCCCTCTCTCCATGTAAGTTACAATATGTTTCTTTGACAATTCCATTTATAGTTGTGACATCATGACACATGACTAAGCAGAATATTTAGTAACATTATTTTAATAAGAAGTAGGTCTGATTTACAAGAGTGTGGAGCTCTACAATTTCGGATGGTGTTAGCCTCACTAGCGGGGGGAAATGGCATTGCCTTCTAGGTCTGTTGGCTTATGTAAGAAACATCCTGTTAATATTGCACTTCACAATGAAATAGAATCTGCCAAAGAGAGAACCACTTCCTCTTTTGCAATGTGTAAAACATGGCATGGGGAAGTATGGGCCTACAAAGAGTAGGTGATTGAATTGTTGTCCCCTGCTTATGTGGTTCCATAAGCTGTGAAAATGCACAGAAAATGCATAGAAAATATTAAATATCCAGAACACAATGACACTATTTCGGGATATATCCAGGTAAAAATTGTAGTCTGTTTTACCTGAGAACCTCACATTGTAACAATATGGTATCTGTGCTTCCATGATGATAAAACAGTCTACCCACATATGCCATGTGGGTGAAGGTGCCCTAGGAACCCCATGAAGTGTTTGACAGGTGAGACTTCCATATATTGCCGATAAAATTTGTGATCTATCACTTCTTTATGGGAAAGAAAGATCACGATTTGCATATATTCATTGATCACAGCAAGAGGGAAAGTTATCAGAGCAGGCTAGTTGAGTAAATGTAAAGCGTGACCTTAGTTTTGATCAGCTGAGCTGTTTTCAAAACAAACATGGAAGCCCCTCTGCCATGTATGTACAGTACAAGTGAAAGGCACTTAGGATATTCTGTCTGGAAAACTGCACCAATTGGGACACACAGCATGTGAAAAGATAAATTCAGGAACAGAAATAGAAACAGGCTACCCTTTTATATTAATAGTAGCCCCCACAAAGGCTTATTAGCTAACAAAAACAAAGGCAAAGTGGACAAATGACTGCTCTGAGATAGAGCAAGGAGTTAAAATGGGTAAAGAGAAGAACCATATAAGCTAAAGATCAGCATGACCTGAACAAATAATTAATCACAAATAGAAGTCTTTTTAAGTCATAAAACAAACCTTATGTTAAAACACTGGATTAAAAATTTTGAAAATTCTGAAATTTAATTCTGCAGCAGCTTCTCCCTGCTAAAATGAACTATCTGTAAGAACTAGAGTTGTATGAATGAAGAAATAGTCAATTCTCTGCAATAGAAAGGACTTGAATTATCCAACACTGCAATTACCTCTGAAGATGATGACTTCATATACACATTGTTCCTATTTAAGCCTGAACTTTACCTAGGACTGTGTTCATAATCACTGAGTACTTTTTCTTCCCACTCTTGTCACAGAAGGAAAGAAAAACAGATTTTTTTTCTCTTATACAGTTGCTGTTACCCCACATGGCTATGCTTCCAGGTTTGAAATCAGCTTTGTCGACAAGTTTGATGTAGCCTTTGGGAGAGAAGGTGAAACAATGAGTCTTGGCTGCACAGTTGTCATCAATCCTGATATCAAGCGCTTCAAACCAGACATTGAGTGGTACAGGAATGGTGAGAATGTTTGACAAGAAGAAATGTAAACTTCTTTCATGTGAATCTTTACTTATTTCAGCTAATGTCAACGTTATGATTTGGTCGTCACTTTCTCAGGGTTTCTAATGATAATATTCTCTTTTTCAACTAAAATTGTTTCATAATTGAGCATTTTGATGTGAAACCACAGGAAATTTACAAAGCACTGTGAAAATGTCTTCTAGAGATTTTTTATTTCATAAAAAATATCTAAACTAGAAGCATTTTTATCAGAGACAACATCTATGTGGCATTTATAGAGCTCATATAGCTTTTATTATTTATTTATTTATTTATATGCCAAGATATATTCAAGTAGTTGCCCAATGTTCTGTAACAGCTGATAAAAAAATATTGCTTTCTGAAGTAATGCTTTGAAATCAAAGCTGTCATAAGAGCAGAATTAGATGTTATTTATGACTCTTTTCAAAGACAGAATGTTGTCTAGTAAGAGTGGTCTCTTTTGTAATTCCAATCTATTCCAGTATATTTTCCATATTCAGAATCTATTCCTCAGTAGCTCCAGCTGGTTCTCACAATGAAATTCTCTAATTCCTAGGTGTTCTTATTACACCATCCAAATGGGTCCAGATGCAGTGGAGCGGGGAGCGAGCTTCTTTGACGCTGACTCATGCAAACAAGGAAGATGAAGGTCTTTACACACTGCGAGTGGCGATGGGAGAGTACTATGAGGAGTACAGCGGTTATGTCTTTGTTCGAGGTGGGGCACTGTCTTGTGCACAAAACTCACTACAGAGCTAAGGGAAAATCAGTCTCAGGTATTTGAGGTGCTCGCCCGCCCTTCCCCCAGCACCCCATTGCAATAGAACAATAATTTTCTATTAATGGAGCCTAGCAATGCACACTCCAGTCATTATCTCTGGAAAAAATACGTGCATGTGTCAGGCTTTGGCGTCTTGTGCCTGAAGACCTCTAAACTCCATTGACATTCTGAGGAGGAAATTTAGGGTATTATGTTCAGAGTGCTGAACATCAGTCGTAAGGAGGAAAAATGCACATAATAAGTTACAAATGCTTTTTTGTAACCATCCCACTGCTAGCTAAACTGCACTATTTTTGTCAAGATCTTCTGCACAATTTGAGGGATTCTGTCTAATGCATACAGGAGGAAAAAATACAGTGGGATGGAAAGTGCAAAGATCTGCACCTGGAAAAGCATAATCTCATGCATCAGAATAGGCTAGTGTTTGTCTGGAGAGCTGCTTTGCAGGAAGGATCCTGGTGGGCCAAGGTGAACGTGTGCCCTTGTCACAAAGACAGTGGCACCCCAGGCTGCTTTAGGAAAAGCATTGCCAGCAGACTGAGGTGGTGATCCTTGCCATCAAGCACTGGTGGGACTCATCTAGAATGCTAGATCCATTCCTGGGATCCCCCATACAAAAGATACATGGGCTCACTGAGATGAGGCCACAGAAGGGATCTGAAGGTGATTTACAGTTTGGAGCATCTTTCATATGAGGAAAGGCTCTGGCTGACTCTGCTTTGAGCCAGGGGCTAAACTAGGCAATATTTGGAGCTGCCTGCCAATCTCAAGCACCATGTGATTCTCTGAAGTAATGCAGTGAGGAGTGGAATTAAAATGTAATTTTTGTGAATGTTGTTTGCTTGTGCCACCAAAAACTTTATTGAATATCCATTGAGAATTATTTCTTTAAAAGGAGCCATTGCTATCCAGTTGTGTGCTGATTCTATATCTTTCCCAGCTTCTAAAAGCAGCTGAAGTGTGTAATTCTAATTCAAAAGGCTCTGGAGATTCTTGGCTCTGAGACCATGCCCAGAACAGCTCCTTGTTGCCAAGTTCAGCAGAGCTGTGTGAGATAACAACATGCCCAGAAAATACAACTGAAGCAGACGTTTTCAACACCTGAAGAAAAGAGCCTATTGAAATGAGCTTCTGTGTCAAGAAATAGGATTTGTCTTCCTTTATTTGTTTTACATTGTGCTTCCATATAAATAAATTATCACCCTCAATCCTATTACATCTTCTGGCAACACAGGTGTGACCTGACTGAAACCACCACCCCTTTCAGTAGAGTATCTTCCTACACACACAAACATACTGTGTGTGTTTACTAAATTCTAATTACATTAATTTTATTCTACATTCCTATTTAAATGGTCACCAAAATCTTGGTTGGCTGCTGTATTCTCATCACTCCTAAACTGTAGCCAAATTTTCTTTAAATGGCAGCTCTGGTATTTAAGCTGGAGCAGTTGTGGGTTTTTTGTATCACACGCAAAAATTAGTGTATCCATGAAAGGGAGGCTCCTAATGTTATGCCTCCAGACTGGCTTTGAGAGCATGTGTGATGCCTCTGCCATGGCTACAGGTCATCATTTGCCAGCATGCCATCAGGGATGAAATCCTAGCCTCCTAGAGGCTGATCAGCAATGCTGGTTCTCCCATCTGTTTCCCAGTCTGTCTTGGAAAGAAACCATTGTCTCATGTTCTGTCAAGTGGCAAATATGGGCAATTAAAACCTTTCATAAAGAGATCACTGAAGACATATTGTTATTACTATTAATGTTCTTACTATACTGTGATGTTAACTGGATGGTTTACTCTGTGTGTTACCATTTTTAAAAATGCATCAAGTTACCTGTAATTAAAACCTGGACTCGGCAACTTTGGGGCACCTTGAAAAGCTCTGTGTGATGCTACTCTGCCTGTAAGAGTGTCAAGTGTGGCTGGGATTTTTTTTTTTTTAGGAAGAATAATGTTTCACTTGATGAAGCATATTAAATACTCTAATAAGTCATTTTTTTCATGAAAGTAAAAATAATGAAAAATAGGGAATACTGTATATTATAAAGCAAAAACCTGTAATGCCTTGAAAACATTAGATCTTTCTGAAAATTCAGTTTTGTATAGAATGTATGAATAGTATTTATTAATTTTTTTTTTATTCAGGTATATATATCTTAGTTCTTCTTTTGAGGTAGCTCACAATTGTACAAATTGATGCTATTCTGCAGAGAAAAAATATCTCTTACTTGAAAGTCTTTCACAGAATCTTCCTGCAAAGGTTATTTTTCTCTACATGAAAATTGCACCATCTCACAAATCAGAGTCTTTGTAAACAGTAAAAATTCCCCAGTGCCCAGCACAATTTTTCAAAGCTTTAGATAAGACATGTCCAGAAGCTGATGCAGGAGTCAAGGCCCTTTGACACCAACAGTCCCAGATTTATGGTAAACACTTGAAAAAAAAAAATGCTTATCCTTATTTTCACAGTGATAATGTATGTGTAATATAATTAAACTTCAAAAGGTTTTGATACCTTTACAGTTCACAGCCAACCAAAACCAAACAACGAAGAACTATGAGTGGAGATAAGATATTTAATTCAGTATTGTTATATCCAGTGGGTGAATATTTTTGATTCAACTATTGCCTGGCTGCCAAGTTTTTAGTTCAACAGTGTCTCTTGCAGCTCCCTAACCAAAATGCATGATACTAATTCTATTTAAAATGTCTACATTTACAGTATGCTGTAACATATAAAACATTTGTAAATGTTGCAAAGAAAAGCCAAAACCTAGAAAAACATTAGCAATATAAAAGAAAATACTTTTTGGAAGTCTGTAGGAATACAATTTGGTCCTTAAAGATTAATAATTGTTAAAGAACTGTGGTTCACATTTGCAAACATATTTCTCCATCCTCATAGATGCTGATGCTGAAATTCCTGGAGCCCCTGGTGCACCACTGGATGTGCAGTGCTTAGATGCCAACAAAGATTATGTCATTGTCTCCTGGAAGCAACCCGCTGTTGATGGAGGAAACCCCATCCTTGGATATTTCATTGACAGGTCAGTGAGTGTGCTGGACTGGAGAATTCGTATTGCTGCTCATTCCAACAGAAAAAACTAAAGACACATTAGACAGCATGAGATAAAACAGTCATTTATTATTTTCATTCTTGTTGCTGGCCAGAAGAAAATTGATGTTTTGTTTTGTTTTGTTTTGTTTTGTTTTGTTTTGTTTTGGCTTGGCCTGATCTAACTTCTATGGAAAGAATTACATCTTCTTTCATTTAATTTGCATAGAAAGGATTCTGTGAGATCTCAGCCCTTGCTGCTTCTCTGAGGCTTGAGAGGCCTCGGGATTTTGTAGTGTTTGGTAATTCTGCATCAGGCAGCTGTGGCTCCTTCAGTACCAAGGCTCTATTGCCTCTCTCTGATTATGTACCAGAAAGCAAAATATTATCTCAAAGGGGCTTGGATTTCTTTCCCAAATGCTGTTGTTATTCCAGTTCTTAGATTCACAAGCTTCCTGGAAATTATTTTAAAAAATGTGAACCTTCAGGATCCTAGAAGCCTGTGATTTAAGAAATTAAGTCAGTATTTTGGTACTTTTTTTTTTGAATTTTCAGTGCTGGTAATATTTGTTTGGATTTCAGTAACAGAGTCCATCATATGAGGTTCCTCTGTGCTTATTCAAATCCATGTAAAAAACACCCAAACATATATATATATATATGAAATATGCCATTATGTTATGCCTTTGAATATACATAAAATATATATCTGTAAAAAGAGGGTATTTCTTTGTGAAATAAATCTAACACTCAAATATAACTTTACTGTTTTGATAACTTTTGAGTGCCAGTCACTGCTGTAACTATGTTCTGCTAGATCTAAGCTATGGCTCTTTAACATTCGTTGAAAAATCCTAAACAAAAGACAGGACTAGACTCTGAGCAATAATATCTCATTTTAAAACTAGGCTATTGAAGGATGTTAGGACTGAAGTAACTGCAAGAGAAATGGAATTTTGCTTTTTCTGTTGTGTTCACCTTGTTTATTCTGCATTTGCTCTCAAATTCAAAGATGAGTTACTGCTCTCCAGTGCTGGATCCCACCAAAGTATTCAGGGACCCAAATATTCACCCTTACTGCCTTGTGGAGTTGAGGGGATGACTAGCAGGACTGGTCTGTGCTGGTCTGTGCTGGTCTGTCTCTCACCCCAAGCAGACACAAGAACCACAAAACCACGCTGATTGGGATGGTAGCAATTCTCAGGATAGATTCTTGCATGTACCAAGAGATCTGGGTAGGAGCCTTCTCTTTGGTAGGAAGCTCACCAGGTAGTCTCTTCCAAACTGAAAGGTCATGTTCCTGTTGACCATGTTGTTGGATACAGGGAAACCATCACCACAGGCTTCTCCTGCCGCCCTGAACTGATCATATCTTCCTTCTGCCACAAACCAGCCTCCTGATGTGTGTGAGGCTTCACAGTTGTGGGACCAGCAGCATCACGCTGGGTCCTGTAATTGTAGGGACTACAGCCAGCACACCACAGGCTCCCTGGCAGCCCCAGAGGTCTGGGCTCTGAAGCAGAGCCTGACTGAGTGCCCACCTTTAACCCATTCACAGCTCTCTCTGTGCTGGGCTGATCCCAGAGCTCACACTGGAGGTCTCTGCACCCCATGAAGCACAGCATCTTGTGGGGTGTACAGTGCAGCATCGTGCAGGAACGCTGAAGTAGTGTCCTTCTGACAACTGCAAGGGATGCAGATTTCCTGTCCTGTCAAGTAAGCTAAAGCTGCCACTCCCTAAGCATACTTTGGAGGCTTTAAGCAGTGAAGTAAGTCTGTTCTTATCCCTTTTTCAGTCAGGAAAGAAGGGTGCAGCTGTGAGGGATTTAGTGCATGCCCAGCTGGTACTTCAGCCTGACGCCTTGCTGCAGCTGCTTTGATGTCACCAGTATATAATTCTGCTGGAAACTGGTATGGACCAGCCAACAGATGGCGAAGCTCCAAAGACATGTGGGTGCCCCGAGTTCATGTTTTTTCCCTTCCCAGCACTGCTCTTGCTGTTTGTGTTTTCCAGGTGTGAGGTTGGCACGTCCCACTGGACCCAGTGCAATGAGAATCCCGTGAAGTTTGCTCGCTTTCCTGTCACTGGTCTGATTGAAGGCCGTTCCTACATTTTCCGAGTCCGAGCTGTGAACAAAGCTGGTGTCAGCCTGCCATCCCGGGTGTCAGAGCCTGTGGCTGCTCTGGATCCTGCAGACAGAGCCAGGCTTAGAAGTAAGATGTGCTTTTTACAGGTTGCATGAAAGGTTTGAGAAGTCACAACTCATCAAAAAAAATAAAAATGTATGACTATATGACTATCAACTCATAAGCCTTCAAACTCCCACTAGAGGGTGCAATGCAAAGCCAAAATGTTCTTTGGAGACAGCTTTGCCAGGAAGAAATCATCTCAGTGCTCTTTGCACTAAGTGTTCTATGCTGAAATGGCTTTGGCTGACTGCAGTGCTATGCTCCAAATTTGCAGGAAGGGGGGGAAAAGGCACGGGATAATTTAATTGCCTAGAGAGACTTGGTTTTGTTCAGCCAACAGAGTAGCTGTTGAACAGTCTCTCTCTGAGCCACAGACAAGGGTGGCTGATTCTGTTCTCATGTGACAATCCAAGTCTTGCAATAACATCAGAGCAACATCAGGAAAGCTGAACAGATCCCAAGCTCTCTGCTTTAAGGTTAGCATTTTACAAGTGAAGGATATTTCTCTTGTGGCTTCACAATGTCTCAGACATTTTGCTTCCAAACCCACCTCTCTACACATATGGCATAATCACATGCCTAAAATAAATTTCTATTTTTATTCAAAATCTATTTCTACATGTTTCTGAAGTTTTACAATTTAAAATGGTCCAATGTGAAGGGCTATTGTACACAAAGCTACACTGCTCCCATGGTCCCAGCTTGTACAAGCTAATGAGTATAGTACTGCAGCCAGATAATCTACGTTTCCATTCAAGATAAAACAAAAGGCCAGAGGAAAGGGATTTGGCACTGCCAGGAAACATTGCACTCAGTCAGACATGTGAAACCCTAAGCCAGGGGAGGAGGGAGGAGTCTTCTCCTCAATGGGCAGCATGGAATCTGTCACAGGAGGTGAAGTCTGGGTTTGGTGGCCTATTCCTGTTATATCTCCTCCTCTCATGTCTCATAATTTTTCTCCCCACCTGCTTCCTCTCTTCTTTCATCTCCAAAACGGATCAGCCAATGTAAGGTGAACAATGTGGAGGCGGAGAACAGCGTTTGCAAAAATTATCTCTGAAAGTGCATTGACCTGGTTGAAAGCTGCATAACTGCAATAGTGTGATAACATATTGGTTGCTCAGAGAGCCACCCAAATTTATCAAGTGGACATGTTGAGTCAGGCTGAGCTGTTACTGTTTGTGACTGTGACCCACAATTTAAAAGCTGGTAATGTGAAGGAAAGTGGTTAAAAAGAGACAAGATGCAGCCTGCAGGAATTTGACAGTTCCTTTAATAAGTGAGCTGTTAAACCAAAGGAATAGAGGGTGGAATATAAAGCTGAAACTAATTCTCTGAAAACAATGAGCTGAGTGAACCAAATACCTCTGCTTGTCACCTAGGAGACTTCAGTGACATTTCAAGAAGGAATAGATGTTTCAGTGGATTAAGTTTTCTAGCTATATTAAATGCTGAGCTGCTCTCAGTATTCAATCTGTTAAACCCACAACTAGCTTGGGTAACTAGCTTGCTACATGAGCAACAGCCACAGCATAAAGCAAAAATGAAGCTCATGGGGATCTTGCAATTGTTAGTTTTGAGCAACAAAAGAATCAGTTTTCTCATTGTTCAAAAATTTCCTGGTGTCCTATTTCCTTGTTATCTCTGACATTTGTTTCAGGTCACCCTTCTGCTCCTTGGACTGGACAGATTATTGTGACTGAGGAAGAACCTGCAGGTAAACACAGCCCTTTTGCCTACAAATGTCTAATGTGAAGCTGGTTGAGTAATTAGGAAAACTCTGAGTTCAGTGGACTTTGGCACAGACCCAAAGTTTGTTGTTCTGAAAGTCACTTGACCTTGAATAACTCAACAACTTGGTTTTTGAGGTGAAGTTTTATTATTCAGAACATAACAAAATCATGCTTAGAATTGAAAGAAAGAAATTTAAACCCAATATTTAGAAGATTTTAACTCTACATTTAAAAAAAATAGATTAAGTGCTGAGGTATATTGATACTCCTATTTTTTAAATTATGATGCTAATTCTGATACAAAACCAGAAAATAATCCAAGTTCTCTTTCCTATTCTTCCCTGTCCTTCAGAGGGTGTTGTTCCTGGTGCCCCCACAGACCTCCAAGTTATTGAGGCCACCAAGAACTATGTTGTACTTAGCTGGAAACCTCCTGGGCAGCGGGGCCATGAGGGTATCATGTACTTTGTGGAAAAGGTAAAATTGGACAAAATCAGAAACATGCTGTGCCAATATTTTATGTTTGTTTTGTCGTCTCTTCTGAACCTCTGGTTAACTTTCATTTCTGTCTGAGATTTGTAAATTAGGGCAGGAATTAGAAGTTCATCAAGGTAACTGTCAAACTGTAGATTAAGTTAAACTAGGAATAAAAGAAAAATGGGAAATAGGAAAGTAGATGAACAATGTGTCACACCCTGTAATATTCTTGAATTGTGTCACTGACCTACGTGGAGTAGAAAGAACAAAACTTCTTCTATAATGTGAAAGCACAGAGCAAAATCACATGCTTAAAAAAATAAAATAAAAATAAATAAATAAATAAGATACATTTATTTTTATGTCTATGCATCTTATATATATATATGTTATTATATATATGATATTAGATAGATAGATGGATGGATAGATAGATAGATAGATAGATAGATAGATAGATAGATAAATAGATAGAGAGATAATTTGTATAGATGAAGTTTGTCTGGAAGGACAGATTGTGAACATTTTGGATGGAAGCATTTTGCAAGAGCTTCTTGTCATCAGCGCTCTTTATTCCAGCTGCCTTTTCGTGTTTATCCTCTGCATTATCTTTCCATTTGCTCCACCAACTCAACAAAGATCACAAAATTTATTTTCTGATCTCCTAGAACAGAATCAGTTTTCATTTCAGTGGTTAATTTTTCCTAAGGTCTTTTTTCATGGCTGCTAGCCTAGAAAATTCTTCACACCATCACCCTTTCTACTTGCATCTCTTGGCTCATAAACTTTTTTATCAATGTTTTTTCCTATCAGTCTAGAGGCGTCATCAAGAGAGACATAAATATCTTCCCATTATGTGTTTTCATCTCTCATACAAAATCTGGTCTAAATAAATGAGTTTCACTTAGCAACAACCTTAGAGAGGATGAATATATGAATTTTGAATTTCTGTATAAGAAAGCTAATTAATAACCGATTTCATGCTGAGTACTCAGGACTAATGTCACATAGTTAGATGAGAATTTGAATCCCTCAGAAACCAGAACCATTACTTGAAATTATACTTAATGTAAATCAAAGCAAAAAATTAATCACTAGTATTAGTGATGTAAGTGATCATTGTATGCAGAATTTCTAGCCACAGAAGTAAAAACAATTCACAAATGAATTTCAAATGTTATTTTTTTTCTGGAAATGAGGGCCAAATCATGATTAATTCTGAAAGCCACTCCAAAGACACTAAGAGTGCTACAAGAGCATCTAGAAGCAAAGTGGTAATGCTAGAGTTTTGCTCTTAGCATAATGCTGAATATCCACAAAACTCATTTTGAAAGTGGTCCAGACTGGGTGCAGTTAATAACATCACTTCCTTGCAGTGGAGAGGGTTTAGCTCTGGTATATTAAAACCAGTACACTTTATGTATGTGTTCTGAAGTAAGTGAACATCTGGCAGATTCAAAAGCTTTGAAATATGCTTATACTTTGGAAAGGCCCAAAGAAGGGATTCTCCACGGCAGACATGAACTCCAGTGGTCCAGTGGTTGTGTGAGATGCTCAGCCTTCAGATACTTCTCTTCTAAACGTGGTTTCTGGGTTTGACTGCAGTGTGTTGCTGGCACAGAGGACTGGCAAAGGGTGAACACCGAGATCCCTGTGAAGTCCCCTCGCTTTGCAGTTTTTGATTTGTCTGAAGGCAAATCCTACTGCTTCCGAGTTCGCTGCTGCAATTCAGCTGGAATTGGAGAACCCTCAGAAGCAACTGAAGCCACTGTAGTGGATGACAAACTCGGTAAGCGTGTGATCACGTGTATTAAATCACATCCATGGTAACTTTTCAGGTTGTGAGGTAGTTGTTTTGTCTGCGGGCAGGTAGCTGCTCAGAAAATAATTCAAGTATGAAAAGCAGTCAGCAATTTATTCTCTTTAGCTAAAGAAATTTTTGTTTGGGTTGTTCAGCCTTTAATGTACAGTCAAATGACAGATGCAAACCAAGGAAATTAAGCTGCAAATAATGATGCCAAGAACCGCAAAGACTGCAAATAGCAAAAGAAAATGAAAACTCAAGGAAGTATGAAAATGTTTTGTTTTACTTAGATTCTTTATTGAAAGTAAGCCTAGACATCAGCAGAGTCTAACCTTCCTTGTTTGCCAAATTAAACAAAAGTGAAGAATTTAATACTTACATGAAAGCAGAGACTGTTTTCACTGGAAGAGAAGCCAAGATGTTCAATATAGAAAGTCATCAGTAGCTACACCTACATAACCAATTTGTTTCCAAACAGAAATGCAGCTTTCAATCCAATTCCCAAATGATCTCTGTCCACTTCATATTGACTTCTCAGAGCATCTGGATGCACATGAAATACATTTTTAAAGAAGAGTAAAACATCTCTTCTTGAAAAACCCTGTAGATACCTGTAATGGGTTTAATACTCTTTGCCACCTAACAGAAGCCTTGGTTTCTGGCTTATCCTGTGGGTTGCACAAGATCTTCAACGTGCACCTAGCACATTTTCTCTTTTAGAAAGCTCCAAATCACATCTCTGGTGCAGATGTTCAGCACAAGGGGGTAAGTTAGACATGATTTTAAGGAAATACATTGAATCCTAGGAATACAGAAGGGAAGAACCTCACCACCGAAGGCTTGAGCCTATTGATCCTGTCCTGTCCTGAGAGATTAGTTAATTTAAATCAGAGTAGTTTTTTTAAGATTAAATCTGTAGTAGTCATAATAATATAATCAAGAATAGAATTTCATGCTTATTTTATTTGTGAGTTTTAACTGGCAGGCTAATTTATTTCTGCTTCTCTCCCACAGATATTCCCAAAGCTCCTGGCCGTATCATGCCAACTAGGAATACAGATACTTCAGTTGTTGTCACTTGGACAGAGCCCCCAGATGCCAAGGAGCTGGTTGGGTACTACATTGAGTCAAGTGTGGAAGGATCTGGTCGTTGGGAACCATGCAACAACAATCCAGTGAAAGGCACAAGGTAATTAATCTTAAACTATGGAAATGATGGTCACCAATGTCTGATTTATTGGATATATGTCCTTTCCAGCCATTAGTAGTAGTAGAGCTAATCTTTCTGTGGTAGCCAGCAGGCTGGAATCCCTCTTGCATGTGAAGCTCATAAGAAGTTATAAAAACATATTTCAAACTGTGAGATTTGTCCAAAGAGAAATTATAATCAGCCTTATATTAGAAACAATTAGGCAAGGGGAAGAAACATGGACATTGTTAATGAAGAAAAGAGAAGCAGTTTGCTACTTCTAGCTATTGTACAGCCTATCAGTTTGATGAAAAACAGGACATTGAGGAATGACTGAACTTACAAATGTGGAAAAATAAACTGCATAATGTTTGGAAGCAAAGTGCTTTGTTTTGGAAGACTGCTTTAAACATTTCTGGACTGTGTATCTGGACTGTCAGGATGCCATGTGGACTATATCCCACTAAAAATATTACTTTCTGACTGCTCTTTCACTTGTAATCATCGAGAAATTAATGAACACTCTTAAATATTGGGTACAAACCCACATTTCTTATCGACATGAAGCTTGGTCTCCAGTCAGAAAAAATAATCAAGATTTAAAACTTCCTGAGATAAATCAGATTTGGTTTCATTTGAGTAAGTATGTAATCTTCAGAGTCTGAAGGAGTAAGTGCAGAGCTTTTTCCTCAAGTGGATTGATGTCAATACAGAAACAGTCCCTGATTGTTATGACTGATTCTGCTTATTTGTACTTGCTATCTGTGACAACCCTTATTACAATAAGTAAGACTCTGCTAAATACTTCTGGACCAATTTTTTTGTTTAGGAGGCCATTGTAAATGCTTAGTATATCAGAAGTACCTAAAATCTCACTTCACTGAACACACACACAACAATTTCATTTATGTGTTCTTTAGTGAATTTATATTGCATTTATATTTATGTGTGTCATTATTACATCCTTTCATACCTATTTCTATGAATTATACTGTAGCTATATCAAAAGTGACTGAAGTTTCATGCTCTTTGCTTGTTTTAAAATATGAAATGTGACCTTTATTCACCATAGAAATAAAAATATTTTTCTGAGTTACTATATGTTGTGATACAAGTACACTGCATAGGTTTCTAGTGCTGCATTTTTAGTCAGTGTGATATAATGTATGATGTAGTCAGGCACAGGCTGTCTGTTAACTCTTGTTTTTTCTGGTTGAGTCAATCTTAAAGCATTAACTGTAGTTCATTTTGATGAACTATGCAGTATATTTTGATCTTTTGAAATTCTGCACATGTCCTAGTGAAAGCAAATGACTTGGAAAAGTCTGATAGAATGTGTAGGGAAAATTCCACTTTGAAAATTTTGACTCAGGTTTTTTTCCTTACCCCAAAATAAAACAGGTTTTGTTTTTCACATTGTAGTTGCTTCATATGCCATAGCATGACATCAGCATTGGTAGTTCAATTATTACTACATTATGAAGTAGAAAAAAATCAAAATAACATTGAATAAAATACACTTAAAATACCTATTGAAAAATAAATGGGGTTTTAAACAAAAAAAAAAAAGTTAAATTTCCATATCACAATCTATTCCTAAATAAATTATTCCTGCCTTTGGAAATTTTGTGTTTTCAGGATGGACTCCAGAGAAAATTTATGAGGGTTTTTCTTATGTGACAATTAGATTATCAAGTAAACGTCTTCAAATAAAAAAAATCATCTAACTTGGATTATTGTCATGTATTGAAGCAAGAAAGTGAAGTACAAAAATAATGTAGCTCCTGTAAAATGCTGTGTAATTTTTTTGAATGCTGCAATTTTTCATTTATGATTGGAAGGGATTTATGGGAACCTGTGTTACGTGTCCTTTACTTGTGTCATGAAAATATCCCACAAGAAGCAAATACAGACCTTACCTGTGCAGATTTTCACATTTTTCTATTAGGAAGTATGGATTTTATATGCTGGCTGAAGTAAGGTAGACCCTGTGGTAACACAGGAACTTGTGTAGTCTCAAGAGGGGAAGATTGTTGAAATAGTGTGTCTTAAAAGAGGTGGGTTTAGACACTGTTTTGTGAATGAGGTGCCCCGATTCTGCATTCTCTGAACTTCATATAAGTGACTGGGGTCATGGTTTGTCCTTGGTTTATAGAAACCAGAATAAATATCATGGAAGAGATTCTTTCTTTCTTTCCCCCCTTAAACCTTTTCTCTATAATACTTTCTAAGTATTCCTTGTCTGGTTTGTTTTAGATTCATTTGCCATGGGCTCAGCAATGGTGAGAAGTACATTTTCAGAGTCAGAGCTGTTAATGCAGCAGGTCTCAGTGAATTTTCACAAGAATCAGAACCTATAGAAGTGAAAGCAGCCATTGGTAAGCTATTCTCCATTGCCTCTTTCAACTGTAATTAATTAAGTAAATACATTCTCAGTAACTATTAGTAACTAATTAATTGCTTTGTTTCACAATGTTGTCCACAAATAATAATTTATCCATAGATCCTATAGTCTCACAGACATAGTTTCACACTCACTGCACTCTTGTAGACTGTTCACCTTCACCATCCAGTTTTCTTCAGGTGTTTCTTGTGAGCCACTGTATGACAGCACTGCCAAGTTCACTTAATAGGTATCCTGGAAAATGGGAATGTCATTCTGATTCTGTAATCTGGTATATCACCTCTAATGCACACCATCCTAAATACAGTCAGTTCCTAAGAAATTTGTTTCCATGGCTAAACCTGGTAGGGCAATGTGTCGCCTGTAAACCTGCTATAACCCTGTGTGTTCTCCCTTTGCTGATGGGTTGCTTCTGTTTGCCACTGCCTGAACTAATCCATAAAGATTAATGAGATCATTGCACTAGAATAAATTGTGTGTCTGCAACACCCTCACTCTCATTTGTATTGAAGCTGCATACCTCTCAACCTTAGAGCAGACATGTGGCTTAGGGCAATTTTGTGAGATCGTCTTGATAGGATCAGAAATGTGACCTGGAAGATCCAATACTAAAATAATGTTAGCAAAGTAAGAATACTATTAACTTTATATATTTTTTTTCTGCTCTGAATACTAGACATTATTAAAAAAAACATTATTTGTGATCAGGCTGAGAGGTATTCTATGCATTTCAATTTTTTTTAAATTCAAGCTTAACATTTTGTGTGTAAACACAGTGATTTGTCATATGTCGGCTGTATTGTTCACTGCATGCATTTCTTCACTTTGTTGCCTAAATGAAGAAAAAAGAATGTGTTCTAAATCCAAATGTCTTTGCTGTTTTCTGGCAATTATAGGGGGAGGATTGCTTCATGGTGTGTGTCCTGAACTGAGTGGTAAAGCTTCTGGACTAACAGACTGCACTACCAGCTGGGAAGGCATGCATGGGGCTTCCCAGCCTATCTTTGACACAGATGCTTTGCTAAAATGCAATGCTAAGTTTAATAGAGAGACACTGCCCAGTAGCTGTGGCAAACTGGAGAGTACAGGAGACAGTAACACGAGAGAAATGGTTAAGGACGCTGTCACATCTGCACCACAAAAAGTTGCTGCTAAGCAGGCAAGTAAGTCCCGACCCAGGGATCTTTTGACAGTGGAAAAAGTTACAAAGAAGAAAGATACAGGTGAGAATTAATGAAATAAATAGATTTTTCAGCTTTAGTAGGTCCACTTCAGACTGCTGTAACTTCTGTTCAACTGTGCCACAAGTGAGCGTGCTCTACAGTGATGCATCTTCTATCAAAGCCTTTAATTATGTGCTCAACTCTGCATTAAGATCATTATGCACGTAATGGTACTGGAGGTCACTTTACAAACTTAGTGGTTAATGAAAGTGAAACATATCAATATGGTTAGTAATTTAATGGCTTGTTTGACTGCATATTAATGTATCCAAGGTGGTATATGATTTCTAAATCACTTCTGTACTTTGCGAGGAATCTGGTTACCTAGTTCTCTGGGTTATATATATAGGAAGGAAACAAAATCTAATTATGATGGTAAGCATGAAAATTTGTGTTCTGTTAGGTAATTTGAAGATCCTTTGTGGATTTTAGCCTAACCTCCGTCTTACCTGCTGACACACTGTGCTAATGAATGTTATGTTCTACCCCTGACTAATAGTGATACGTATGGAGGAAAACCTAACAAGTTACAGGCACATGCACAAAATCATGTTTAAAATTGCCGTGCCTGAGCACCCATTTTGCCCAAGATATGCGGGGCTTGAATTTCATTTAAATTCTGGTGCCTGGCCAGGGAGCTAAACTCCTCCCTAGGCCTCTGAAGTGAGACACAAAATGTTGAACAGAAAACAAATGAGGGGCACCTGGGCCTAGCTGACACAAATATAAAACATTAGACACAAAAGGAAACATATATGATGTGGGATTTCCATCCAAAGTATGACTTCAGGGCACAAGTAAGGCTTTCCACTGGTATGTTACATATTGGATGTGGGCAAGCATTTTCTTACTAGATACAGAAGAAATATAAGAAAGTGGGTTGGTATGAAGTGAATGATTTCTGTATTATTTAAAAGAAAAAATCTAAGAAGGAAGATTATGCCACGTGTTTTTTAATGTAAGTTCCAGTAACAGACATGTTCCATTTCTGGTCATACTGCAGTGCCTATGATCACTCTGCCTTCCATTAAGGTAAGATCACATGATGGGTGCAATGATAAAATTTGCACAGTATATAAATTTAAAAGAAAAAAAGGAACAGATAAAGGCAATTCTTGGGACGAAAGAATGTGAGACTATTTCTCTTAAAAAAAGGAAAGAACAATGAATATTGTATTGCAAAACGGGGTTTGCTTTCTGCAAAAGAAAACAAATCATTGCATCTCTAATTTTTTTGCTTTTCCTGCAATGTTAGTTTTAGTTTCTCATTTTTTCACAGAGTAAAGTGAGTCCTGATCACTTGCATCAGAGCTGCAATTGCAACACATTCTTTTGCTATGTATCAGCCTTCTTTATAACAACAGGGAATCCTGAAAACTAATTCCTATGCAGTTTGGACTTTGCATTTGGTTTGTGGAAGCATTTATTCTGCATTTCTTAGTCCAGTTCCAGAAACTTCCCTTGAGCACATAAATGCCATCCTAATTAGGAAACACAGGGTAGGAGCCACTTGAATACGGTAAGTGAAAGCAAGCCTGAAATATTGCCTCCTACTTACATGTTATTCACATTGAAACAGCTGCTCCATCTCCACCTTACGACATCGTGGTGCTCGAGAGTGTTCGTGACTCAATGGTCCTGGGATGGAAACAACCTGAAGCCATTGGTGGAACTGAAATTACCGGCTACTACGTGAACTATAGGGAAGTGGTTGATGGAGTTCCTGGGAAATGGAAGGAGGCCAACATTAAGGCTGTTACTGAGAGGGCATACAGGGTAAGAGATTAACTCCAGTTATTGCTGTGGGAGCTGCCAGTATTTTCAAATCAAATCTCATAGATGGGTTGGGATGAATTATGATTCAGTGTACAGATAACTATTCAGAGGGTTTTAATACCGTGATGGTAAATTTATTTAGTCCTGTTAAACTTCTCTGCAAAATTGTTTGTACACTTATTTGTTAGTCTGGCATCAGCTGTCATCTGTAAATTCACTGACATCATCTGATATCTTGTAAGTTAGGCCCTCACAATAAATGGAGCTCCTACTGGTTTGATGGACATATCTCAGTGCTTGCTGGTGCTGAAACCAGCTCTGTGCCAGCTGCTTTTTGTGATCAGTTCTTGACCCAGTTTAGAGACAGTGCTACCTACAACCTCATTGAGCTGCTTTAGAAATGAAAAAGCAATGCCAGGACTGAGTTTCACCCTACTGTGAGGACAACTCTTGCCTTAAGTGAACTTGTCGAGACAGACTAAGATGATTGTTGAGTAATACCCTGTTTCCTCTCTGGCTACCAAAGTGTATCAATAGGAAAAGAGGGTTGCAATTTGAGTGTGCTAAGATCACTCGTGTGTGCTCCAGCATTGGTCAGAGGAAAAGCCAAGATAATTGTCATGTTAAGATGTTAATAATGCTTCCATCTTCAGGCACACTTAAAAGCATGCTCATGTTTTCAACAATTGTCATTGTGACTTTCTTCTGAAGTCCTAATCTGAAGTTAATAAGTACCATCTTATTGATCCTGCAGATCCAAGACCTGAAGGAAAACATGGTGTACCAGTTCCAGGTGGCTGCTGCTAACCTGGCGGGGGTTGGGACACCCTCCAAACCCAGCAAGCCCTTCAAATGTGAAGAGTGGACCATTGCTGTGCCTGGTAGGATCCTGAGTGTGACACAGCCCAGGGGTGCTCTGGGACTGATTATCTAATGCAGGCACTTTGCAGGGGAGTCAAAGGGACACTGAAGTTCATGGCCAGGCTTGAATCATCAGCACTTTGATTTAGTACCATTACAGTGATGCCTTACATAATCCCTATTTAAGTAGCAGCATTTTACAAGCAGCTTCTTTAGTTGTCTTTATCTCTCTTCCTTTGTTCCTCTACTGTGTCTGGCACTTTGCTTTCTAGTTCAAGTACTAGACATTGATACCTGTCTAAGATACAAGGCAGAGAAGAATGGGGTCTTGTAACCCTTGTCTAAATGTACAAGGGCAGATCCCTGACCTTTTAACATTCATTGAAATGAATGAAAACAACCTCCACTGACTTCAGTGGACTTTAGACCAGTCCTTGAAGCAGTACATTAGCTTAATTATTAACTTATTTCCCTGAGTTTGGGGATTATTTGTCCATTTTGTAAGCTCATGAATATTTGATCAATATACCAATCTGAACCAATTAGATTGTGTTTTGGGTTAGTCTTTTTAATTGGGGTGGATTGTATGTACATTGGGTCAAAGTATGATACAGAGGAGCTAAATATTATATAAATTCTGAGTACCATTCTAGGTTCTGTCTGTTTTTGGTTCTGGAGTCTTACACATTGGTCCCTTTGGGATTTATTTGGATACTGCAACTCCAACTTTTACGTTTCAGGGCCACCCCATGATGTCAAATGCACAGAAGTTAGGAAGGAGTCTCTGGTTTTACTGTGGAAGGAACCAGTTTATTCTGGTCGTAGTCCCATAGTTGGTTATTATGTTGATATGAAGGAAACTGAAGCAAAGGAGGAGCACTGGAGAAGTGTCAATGAGAAGCCACTTCAAAAGAAATTCTTGAAGGTAAATAGCTGAAGACTCGAATACTGGCATAGCAGCATAACCTTGGGGAAGTCAGTTTGGATAGCATCATCCTTCACTGATCATGGCTCCACTTAAAGGAATTCTCAGTAGGCCATATGATACATAATTTTGTGGAATGACTTCTGAATAAGTCATCAGCAGTATCAGTTCTAGAGATAAGTCTGAAGTAGGCTTGCTATTTTTATGCTTTTCAGAATAGTTGAAAGAATAGTAATTTTAAAGTGTGATCCTTTCATATATATTTTATAGGAATATCCCCAGGTGACATAATGTCAGTATAATTCCTCAAGTCACTGCAATTAAATCTGTACTATTGAATTCCCTCTTGTTTCTAAGTAGGTGTGGCTGGTACTTATTACCCTGATAATCTAATTTTTTAAAGCCAGCACTTATCTGCAGTAAAAGACTATGATGTTTCAGAGGTCAATGTACCTCTGAAGGTTAAAAACATCCTGTTCCAAAACCAGTGTTCCTTTTGCTAAAAAATCAATGACAGCCATGATGCTGCCTGAACATTAACTATGCACACAAGGAACAAGTCACACAGATTAGTCGCGTCACTCTGTAATTGAATAAGAAAAAGGAGAACTGGAAAAGAAACAAAACAGGAAAGGAAATAGAATTGTCAACTACCCAGACTGATCTTAATCAGTGTGAAATTAAAATCAGTGTTTTGCAACACACCACTATATATATTTGATTCTTCCAGATTGGTGGCCTGACACAAGGTGTGAGCTACGTGTTTCGTGTGCGGGCAACAAACCAGGCTGGCGTTGGGAGACCATCAGATGTCACAGATGCTGTCATAGCTGAAACACGACCAGGTTCGCTAGAAAGACTTCCTCTTTGTCGTCATATTTACCCAGGTTCCTCTTTGTGCAATGTGTTTACCTGCAGGCTACATGCCAAGAACCTGATCCTCAAGTCAAGCTTTTTATGAAGCAAGATATGAGCTGAGGGCCATATCTTAAGTTCATTGTCTGGCATGTTTTAAGGTCAGAACAGATTTTATCGCAACTGCAGGTTCAGGAATATAAAGATACAATAAAGTTGTAAGATTTGCATGTCTCTACAGGTAGGTGCATAAGTAGAGGACTGAGCAAGATCAGCTCAATGAAATAATATTACAGATGTAAATTTTGCCTTTCCTGTATTAAACCAGTTTATGCTTTATCATTCTCCTTTTCTTATGTAATGTGCCTCAGGAAAGGATAAAAGAAACTACATTTTTTCTCTTGGTCTTTAAAAGAAAGGCTTTCAAAGCACAGTGAAGTAATTTTGGAGACCACTTTTAGTAGGAATTCAAGTGCAACTCTTTGTTGGAGTCAGCCTTGAAGGCTAGCTCCAGTGCGTGTGTAAGACCAGCAAGAAACACAGGAATGAGTGCAGAGGTAGCATCTCCATACCTGGAATTTTGGAACTTCACAAAGCCCCTGGAGTTTATTTAGCTATGCAGTTAATATAGGTCACTGGTCAGAGACAACACCTTTTTGTCACCAAGCCCCCAACAGAAAACACAAGCACAGACTTGTGGCTTACTCATCTATTGACTATTTCAGAAGTACAGGGTCCTACAAGGTGCAAAAATGAAATCCCAGATATTTTAGACAAATCTAGTATAAGGTTAGTATGATGTAAGAAGGTACAGGGGTACAACTCAACCTGGATCCATCATACACCCTCTTCTCCTCTGACAGTTTCCTTCGTACACCTGCAGACCTCATTTCCCTGGGATCCTTTCCCAGCTGCTGACCCCAGGTTAATTTTTGCATCCTCCTCAGCTCTCATATATGCCCAATCCTTATGATCAGGACAACAAAAATTTTAAAAGTATTGAGTTAGACCTCATCAGTAAGGCTGTAAGTCAAGAAAGCCTGAAAAAGGAGGTCTTAAGCTAGCGGTGTAAAAGAACTGGAAAACTCAGAGTAGGGAGACTGGGCTGACTGCTATTGAGCTGGGATGGGAAAAAGGGACTGCAATGAGTAGATGGTCAGTTGAAAGCATGTAAGACTGAGATACAGGGACAAAAAAAATGAGGATAATTGTGTGAATAAGAAGGGTTTGAAACAGGATCTTTGAAAAATATAGGAAACATAATTTCAGATCTATAAGCTGCTGAAGCACCAAGGCTATTTCTACTACCTGCAAGTGGAGTAAGGCAAACCTTAAAAATTTATTTCCTGAAAACATTTCTGGAAAATTCCTGAAAACAGCTGTATACAGCAGCCACTTCTAAAAAGAGAATTAAGGTACTATTAATACTAAATTTTGGCTTTGATAATTTGTTTTCATTGAGGGTTAATATCTGTGCATCATACTTCTGATAAAACATTGTGATGATAACACTCAAGTGTCCTAAATAAAGAATTGACCA